CGATTGCATCTCGGACTTCATAGCCTCGCGCCATTTTTCGGAGTCCGGATTCACCATTGCCTCTAGGTATGTGGTGGGCTCTTCATGTTCTAATAACATGAGTTCCTCATTCCCAGTCACGAGAAATCTATATCTCGTTGGTTCTTTCTTTCCCTTTGTTTATTTCATCCTTTTTCCCCCTTTATTTTTAGTGTTTTCTTTTGTTTCCGTGTATATGGTCCCTCAAAAAGTCTCCGAATCAATCACTCGCACATCGACATATATTCTTTGTTCTTGGATTTTGACCCCCGGAGAAGAATTCTCTCTGAAGATACAATGGTTTCGCGACATGTTTTTCCTGTAACTGTGAGATTCATGGAATCAATCTGTGTAGTAACCCGACATCAAAGATCAATCTTGTTCTTGCATCTTTTCAGAATCACCAAAAGACCAGAGCTCGTCGGATCAGAGCAGGAGAAAGGAAGTTCATAAGCTACCGTCAAACCCGAAAGAAGTGGAAGATCTAAGGCGAGACTCTGCTGCGAACCCTCTGATCGCTTTCACGTACGGTGAGCTCAAAATCATCACAGGGAACTTCAGACAGGACAGGGTCCTTGGTGGAGGAGGTTTCGGAAGTGTCTACAAAGGTTTCATTGCCGAAGATTTAAGGGAAGGGCTTCAACCACTTCCTGTTGCAGTGAAAGTTCATGACGGCGACAACAGTTACCAGGGCCACAGAGAATGGCTGGTAAGATGTTATCACTTACTTGCCCGCCAAGTAATCCAACTACAGTTGCGTAAAGAAAGGGTCAATCACAGTTATTAGATTGGCATTGTCGAGCTTCATTGTATAATGCTCTGATTATCATGGTAGCTTCTCATATCATGATGATGATGATGATGATGATGATGAAGAAGCAGAAGCTTTACCATTTTCTGATTTCTTTACACTAAAACCTTTACATGAGGATAACAAGTGACATTCCAGACACCTAGACACACTTATAAGTACTTCTTGGCTATGGTCTTGATCGCGTTATTAGAGATACGTACCATGTGGTCTTTTTGAAAGGGAATCTCATGAAATGGCTGAGATGCTTTTTGTAGGCAGAAGTGATATTCTTGGGACAGCTTTCTCACCCAAACCTGGTGAAACTGGTCGGTTATTGCTGCGAGGACAATCACCGTGTGCTGATCTACGAATACATGGCTCGTGGTAGTGTCGAGAATAACCTCTTCTCGAGTAAGTTCGACTTTTTCCCTGGTCCGTTTACTTTCTTGTCGGAAAACATTATGTCAGTCCAAACTGATCATTTCTAACATTACTTTTTTGTATATTTGGAGGAGTGTTGCTTCCTCTTCCTTGGTCCATTAGAATGAAGATTGCATTTGGGGCGGCTAAAGGACTCGCCTTTCTTCATGAAGCCGAGAAACCCGTCATATATCGCGATTTCAAGACGTCCAATATTCTCCTCGACCCGGTAAGTACATTAACATAACCTCAAGATCATGTGGACTCCATTAGTGTATATAGCCCTTTCACAACCGTGGATTCCATTTTACTGTTGGAACAGGACTACAATGCCAAACTCTCTGATTTCGGCCTCGCTAAAGACGGTCCTGTAGGAGACAAGTCTCATGTCTCGACCCGTATAATGGGAACTTACGGCTACGCAGCTCCCGAGTACATCATGACAGGCAAGTTTCCATCAATTGGCAGTGAAATCCAACATTTTAGACTCCTCCATGGTCTCAAAGTAGCAATATTTTGACAGAATCATGTCACCATTTCGATATCCAAACCTACATTTGGATTGAATACAGGATTTGTGGTCATGAAAAATCGTATCATCGGCATGTAGGTGGTATGCAAATACAGAAACAGATGCATAAACTAACATGTATCTAACAGCTGTCTTCTGGCAGCTCTTGAGAGCCAAGATTGATTCTGAATCTGGATGTATACTTCATTTAACAGTCAAGAAGTTGTAAAAGGACAAACTTTTTGTATGCTTCTTGAACCAAGATCCTTTCTGAATCTGAATCATACAGTAAAAAACAATCCGTAAGTCAGAACCCATGTTCGAGAACTGCATTCAGAGTCGTGTAATGTATATACATATATACACACACACACACACTCGATGATACTGACAGCATGTTTGTGCAGGCCATTTGACTCCGAGGAGCGATGTATACAGCTTCGGGGTCGTTCTTCTGGAGCTTCTGACGGGTAGAAAATCGCTGGACAAATCAAGACCAACGAGGGAACAAAACCTCATAGACTGGGCTCTGCCACTGCTGAAGGAGAAGAAGAAAGTTATGAACATAGTAGACCCGAGGATCGAAGGAGAGTATCCGATGAAATCCGTCCAGAAGGCGGCAACGCTCGCTTACCATTGCCTGAACCGGAACCCGAAAGCTCGGCCTCTGATGCGAGACATCGTCGACTCGTTGGAGCCACTTCAGGTCGTGGAAGATGTTGTCCCCTCCGTACAGAAGACACTGGTTTCTGTCGGAGGCGAGACACAGGTTAAGGATGAGTTGAAGATGATGCCTAAGGTTGAAGATGACAAGGGTTCGCATTGTAATTGACTTCCCATGGTTGTTTAGCCTTCTCTGTTTTTCTTTTTTTTGGGTTAAACTTTTGTGTTCAAAGAAGAGTTTTGTGAGTTTTTTTTTAATTTGTTTAATGTACAATTTCGAACAAAATTATGATGTGTGTATTTTGGGAAATACAGAGAATCAGAGATTTAACTTTAAAAAAAAAACTATTTCCTCCATTGTCTAGTTAATTCTTTCTTCTCGAGGATATATATATATATATATATATATATGTTCAAATTTAATTAAAACTTTATCAAATTATTGTAAACACGTGTCAGAAGCTTATTGGGTAACATAAAAGTGGAAAGCTGGGTGGGCTTTGGGCGGGCTTCTAGAGAGTTCGACGGCCCAAAATCAAACAGGAAGCTTCAAGAGCCGAAGTTGAAGTGACCGTTTGCACTAAATTAAAATTGCACGCACACTCTTCCAGTGCTTTCGTTTCGTCGACAACAACCGAGCAGACGATCGCTTCCTCTGGTGAAAACCCTTCTTCCCTAAAACCCTAGTTCTTCTCTCTCTCTGCGCCGTTTCTCCGTTAGTCTCGTGATCTCGATACTCTTTGATTCGATTGTTCTGTTCTGTCTGGTTAGGTAGGTGGAATGTTGTTGCCCATTTCCCGCTTTGTTCGGGTTTGTTTTGTTGCTTTGATAATAACGATCGAGCTGTTCGATTTGATTTTGGATTTCTGTATTTTTTTTCGGTGATTGGGATCTTTTGTTTATACCCTCCGCCCCCCTCTGATTTACTTCGTGATTGAGTAGAGAAGAAGGTCGTCTCTTTCTTATCAGATAAACATGCTCTTAATTTTCTTTTTTTCACTTTCGGTTGAAAAGCTTTTATATTTTGAAAACCATTCGCTTTCTTTGTTTGTATTGTTTTGGGTTTTTGGATTAATTAGTCGAAATGATGGTGCTGCCCATAAAGATGAGTATCCGTGCTTTGCAATAGGTGAGCAATGGCGTCAACCTTCGCTGGGATGTCTTCAGTCGGATCCTTGGCTCCTGCTGGTGGCCACGCAAGAGATGGGCAATTATCATCTTCTAACAGATTGTCATCTTTCGTTTCCATCCCACTGAGCTCTTTTGGAAAGAGACAGAACATTGCCCAGCGGAAGGCAAGGCTCCCCAAAATCTATGCCGCCAAGCAGTTGCATTTCAACAAGGACGGTACCGCTATTAGGAAGCTTCAAGTGAGCGGATAATTACCAGATTCACCTTCTTTTTTATTTTGCCTGTGTTTTGATCCTTCCTTACCGTATGATATATGAATTGTCTTGGTTTGCCTTTCTTGTAGACCGGTGTGAATAAGCTCGCAGATCTAGTTGGGGTTACACTTGGTCCTAAGGGCAGGAATGTTGTTCTGGAGAGCAAATATGGTTCCCCGAAAATTGTGAATGATGGTGTGACAGTTGCTAAGGAGGTAGATATTTGTCTAGTTGTGCCGATCATCGAGTAATGTATTATCGTTTGCGAAACTAATAATCTGATTTTCTAGGTTGAGCTGGAGGACCCAGTTGAGAACATTGGAGCTAAGCTGGTGAGACAAGCAGCTGCCAAGACCAATGACCTAGCTGGTGATGGAACAACTACTTCTGTTGTTCTTGCTCAAGGTCTCATTGCTGAGGGTGTCAAGGTTTGTATCTGACGGATGTATTTCGAGCTTTCTTTCTTTTTCTTTTTGCGAATTATACATATTTAATTTGCCTCATATGTGATGAAACTTTCAGGTGGTGGCTGCTGGTGCCAACCCTGTTTTGATTACTAGAGGGATCGAGAAAACCACCAAGGCCCTTGTATCGGAGCTGAAAAAAATGTCGAAGGAGGTAATGTGGACTAAGACGACCCATCTTTATGATCTTTCATTGTTCATAGTATTCCTTGAGGACATTTTCGAGCGGTCTGCTTTTGAGTGCAGGTTGAGGACAGTGAGCTTGCAGATGTTGCTGCTGTTAGCGCAGGGAACAATTATGAGGTAGGGAATATGATAGCGGAAGCAATGGGAAAAGTTGGCCGTAAAGGCGTTGTCACTCTTGAGGAAGGAAAAAGCGCTGAGAATAGCCTCTATGTTGTAGAAGGAATGCAATTTGATCGTGGTTATATTTCTCCATACTTTGTTACTGACAGTGAGAAAATGTCAGCGGAATATGAGAACTGCAAGGTATTGTTGTTCTTGCAATGACTGCTAAAATGATAATCACATGCTCGGAGTACATGTAGCAATTGTTTAACTCATACATTATATATCTGACTGCAGCTGCTTCTTGTCGATAAGAAAATAACGAATGCAAGGGATATTGTTAACATTCTGGAAGATGCGATCAAGGGTGCATACCCTGTTTTGATCATTGCCGAGGATATTGAACAAGAGCCCTTAGCTACTCTTGTCGTTAATAAGCTTAGAGGTACTCTGAAAGTTGCTGCGCTGAAAGCACCAGGATTTGGAGAGCGCAAGAGCCAGTACCTGGATGACATTGCTGTTCTAACAGGAGGTGAGACAGATATCATTGTCTTTTTTTAGCATTCTTGTCATCTGAATGTTACTCAAAAAGTTATGATCCTTGTAGCGAATGCTAAGAGGGTTACACTTTTCTTTTGCAGCCACTGTAGTTAGGGATGAGGTGGGACTTCAGTTGGACAAAGTTGGAAAAGAAGTCCTGGGTAATGCTGCTAAGGTGGTTCTTACAAAAGATACTACAACCATTGTTGGGGATGGGAGTACTGAAGAAGCTGTGAAGAAGAGAGTTGCACAGATTAGGAATCTTATTGAGGTACTGTTTCAAATCAAAGAAATTTGTGGGTTGGTCTGTTACATGATAATGCTAACTAACTGCTCGTGCCTTCGGCCTTGGATGGGTGTTTGGTGGTACAGGCTGCAGAACAAGATTATGAGAAGGAAAAGCTTAACGAGAGAATTGCTAAACTATCGGGCGGTGTTGCTGTGATCCAGGTGAGGTTTTAGTCGAGAGAATTGCTAAACTAAGCACATCGATGGTCATAAACGAATAACCGTAAAGTTTTATATATGCATGCAACGTTTTCATTTGCTTAGGTTGGAGCTCAAACTGAGACAGAGCTCAAGGAAAAGAAATTGAGAGTTGAGGATGCTCTTAATGCTACAAAGGTAATTTCGATTAATGGAAGCCTCAAAGAAGTTCGGGTCTTTTTGGTAACCATCCACACATATGCATGGAATAAGTTGGGAAAATTCGGAATAATTGTCAGGCTGCTGTCGAGGAGGGTATTGTTGTTGGCGGTGGATGCACTCTTCTAAGACTTGCATCAAAAGTAGATGCCATTAAGGAGAATCTAGAAAACGATGAAGAAAGGGTGAGTCTGAGTCTCACAAAGGGTTTCTCGGGAAAAAAAAACGGTTCTTGTATTTGTTCTGTCAGATTATAACCCTCCTTTGACAAACTCAAACGTAGGTTGGGGCTGAAATTGTCAAGAAAGCATTGAGCTATCCTCTGAAGTTGATCGCCAAGAACGCCGGTGTTAATGGCAGTGTTGTCAGCGAGAAGGTAAATATAAGTAATACTCACAGTTAGTTTTCGCCACCACTCTTGAAATAGAACTGAACTACAAACTGAACGAGTATTCGGTTTTTATCTGCAGGTTCTGGCCAGCGACAACCCTAAATACGGATACAATGCCGCCATTGGCAAATACGAAGATCTCATGGCTGTAGGCATCATCGATCCAACCAAGGCGAGTTTGGAAGATTTCAAACTTTTTTTTGCATTTTCTTGAACAGTTCCGACATCTGTAACTCTTTATAACTGAGTTATTGGTACTGAATTTCAGGTGGTGAGATGTTGTCTGGAGCATGCATCATCGGTGGCCAAAACGTTCTTGATGTCAGATTGCGTGGTTGTCGAGATCAAAGAGCCGGAGCCATTGCCTGCAGGGAACCCTATGGACAACTCAGGTTCTTCGATATGTTCTTTTCCTTTTCTTGGCTCTCTCTCTCTCTGATTTTCGAACAAAACCTCATTATCAAGGGTCAGTGTTTTGGTTCGGGTTATTTCGGTTTTAGAAAAATTCTAACCATTCAGTTTTTATAATGAAATCGGTGTGAATTCAGGTTTGGTTCTATTTCGGTTTGGTTTCATTGATAAAAGTATTCGTTTAACAAAAAAAATGATTTTTCAGTTATTTTTTATTGTTAGGTTCAAGTTCAGATTCGGTTTTTTTCGGTTTTATAGAAATCATAATCATTCGGTTTATATTAGATCGGTTCGGTTACTCGATTATTAACCAAATTGTCCTTCCCTATAACTTGGCGATGTTTCAGGTTACGGTTTCTAAGCTGGACCAAGAGCAAGATTGGGAAGCAAAGGGTCGTGTTTCAAAGTACATTGTGTCGGCTGCTCGCTTAAGTTGTTCCACCAATGGTAGATTTTCTTCTAAACCCCTGTTTTTTTTTTTAATTCTGTGATTTTTCATAAAACTTGAATTTCCGTGATGGGAAAAAATATATATAGAGACCCCATTTTTGTGGGTTTTCCGAGAATGTAATGTACTTTTACACAACTTGCAAGGTAGTGTTATGTTAGGCATGGAATTTGTGGGCTGCGGCTAAATTAAATTATGTTCGTCACTTTTTAGGGGTTAGAGGTTAGAAATCATGCCGAATAATAATAATAATAATAATAAAATAATAATAAAATAATTTTGACGAGTCATTTGAATGAAACGCATACGCATGCATTGAAGGGGAGAGGATCAATTATGGCGTGTAGCTTGGAATTTAATTTATATATAATACATTTAACTTCGAACATAAATTACGGGTAAATCATAGCGTGTTTATCATAAATTTATGAAATTAAATTTTTTTTATATAACTTCGTTGGTCGATGGTAACCCTTTGGAATCAACGAATAGTAGAGATTTTTACAAATTTAAAAAATATATATATATAGAAAATGACAATGTACAAGTCATTGTCGTTGAAGCCGTATCTCACTCTTTTAAAATCCTTACATTAATAATTGTATGATATATATATATATATATATATATATGTGTGTGTGACATAAATCTTGTGCAAGTTGATATACCTACATGACCAACGGGGAACATATCATATGAGCCGAAAACGAAAGGAATCAAAGGGAGAGAGAAAGGAAAGGCAGAGACTTTAATATATGATGAAGAAAAACAAAGGGGATAGAAAAACGTAACAAATGAAGGTATATAGAGTATAGACTGTTTAAGTATGGCCTAAAGATCCTTCCTTTTCCATGCATTGTCGCTCTCTCTCTCTCTCTCTCTCCCTTCTTCCCTCCATTTCATTTTCACAATTTTATTTTTTACATTTTATTATCACTCCCTATATTAATGTATGTTTCCTTATTGAATTTGGTCCAAAATTCATTATTTTTGAAGGAAAAATTAAATCTTTAAGATATTTCATAGCAGAAAATAAAATCAAAACTCAGAAGGCTTGAACTTTGCTTCTCTCTCTCTGCTTCTTCACGCCGCCTACCAAATACAAGCAGCACCGCCACTCTCTCTCACTCTCTTTGCATTCCCAATTCCCTCTGAATTTCCCCCCACATTTTCCTCTCTTTTTTTGTTTTTTTATTTTATGCTTTTTTTTCCTCTTCCGGATGATTGCATTTCTTCTTCTTTTCAGTTTTGTGGTTTTTAAGCGTTTTCCTCTCTTTGCGTGTTCGAGATTTTTCTCTTTTGCATCACCTTGGCGACTGACGTTATAATGCCTCTGCAATGGCGGTTCTCCATCTCACCCCTTCATCGCTTTCCTCTTCCTCTCGCATTGTGACATAACCGTAGGATTTTCTCTGGACTGGGTTTTGTCCAAGTTTCGAAATTTGATCGGAAAGATCGAGTTTTTCCTCCGCGATCGTGAGTGTTCTCTCTCTCTCTCTCTCTCTCTCTGTGATCACCGTACATTTTCTGGGTTTCTTTCCCAAATTCTGATGAACTGATCTGATCCCTCCTCATATCTTCTGCGATCGTGAGTGCGCTTGCCCGATTTTTCGCTCGATTTCCGTGTTCTCTCATGTCCGTACCGTTATGAAAGCCGTGATGTTCGTGTTCTGGCTTTGATCAATCCGATTGCCGTGTTGTGTACATGGTGAATCTAAATTCGATCGCTTTGGTTCTCTCCTCGTTTCACGATTCATGTAGCTTTGTATTCCCACTTGTCCTTTTCAATTTGCCGTATGATTCCAAGTGACCAGAAGTGATCTCAGGACTTTTTTCTATAAGTTTTTTTTTTTTTGCTATTGCGTCGAATGTTTGATCACACAATGCAGGTTGAAATCTTGCAAAGGGTATCAGAATATTCGTGTATCTTGAGTGATCCAGCTGCTTGTGTTTGTTCTTGTTTTCAATGGGAAATTCATGCATAAAATAATTCCAAGTTTTTGATGTATTGAATGATCCAACCTACCTCTGTTTTGCATTAGAGTTTAGTTCCTTTGGACCTACTTGTGAGTCGTGACACTGAATGTTTTGTTTGTTTTCTAGATTTGTCTTGTATTCTACTCTCACTAAGCAGACTTACCACTATGTACTTGAAGGACGAGTTTCTTTCAGCAGCTTGTTTCAGTGTTGACAGTTCCGTGTAGTTACATTGTTTCCAAGCGTTGTTTTTTGTTGTTGCTATGGCTTCTTGACTTCTGTCTTTGTAATGTTTTTGTTGCAGTGGTCAGAGGGCTTTTGAACTGAGGATCTGGAGTTTTGATTTCTCTGGTAGAAGGGCAAGAAGCCATTCTTTGTTTAGTTTTATTGTATTTGAAAATGGAGCAGGGAAGAAGTGAAGTAGAATTTGATGAATTCGAGAAGCTTCTTGGAGAGATACCGAAAATGACTTCTGGGAACAACAGCAGCAGGGTTCCATTATGTGTGAACTCTTGCAAAGCACAGTTTTCGCGGATACTTAACAAAGAGTCGGATGATGGAGGAATGCAGAGAACCAGAATTGAGCAATCTCCTTTCAAGAAAGCTGAGCTAGAAGAAGCAAATCTTCCCGATGAACGCACCTTTACATCTGCATTCGCTGAGGCAGGTGTGGACTTTGGCGGGAACCTGAGGGAAACGACTGTATCGATGCCTGAAAATTCTCGTCTGCTATTTGTTCCTTCTTGCCACTCGCCAAACAGCTTGCCTTGTGTGTTTGACAAATTTGATGCAAGAAAACACGACCCGCAAGTATTTAGGAGGCTGCAACAAGTCGGGTACTTTCAGAACTACCCTTCCAGTGTTTCGCCCGTTCATACTGTCCAAGGTGTTCAGTTTTGTCGAACCATGCAAATCCCGGGCTTGGAGTTCAATGTTTTGTCTGATCATCCGCAATACATGCCGCCCTCACAGCCTCTGCCTCACTATCTACCACTGAATCAATCTCATATGGGTTGGAGAAATATCGAAGAGGGGCAGCTTCAAAGGCTAAAACTCCCAGAAGAGCCATATTTAAGGATGAGCCCACATTTCCTCTATCTTTATAACCAGAGCATGGATGCTCCTAGCAAGCTTATGAGTCCAAGACAGGAATATTTTGGCAGTTTAGATTCTCGCCAAGCTGACCTCACGAATGGAGACTTGTTTTTGGATAAAAATGAAGGTGTGAAGGGTTTGGATGCAATGAGGAGAACGGGTTATCCAGATAAGATGCTGACAAGATCGCAATTTGGATTGAACTCAGATAAAGCCATGAAGTATGGAATAAGAGATGAATCACATAACAACATGAAGCATGATGAAAGACTTTGGTTGCACAATCAAGTCGATGACTCGCTTCCATGGGATTTCTTTAGCACGTTGAACCTCAAAAACGGCAATCTAAGGATGCAGCCTCAAAAGTACAACTCCCTTGCAGAAGCAAGAGGCAAAATATATTGCATGGCAAAGGACCAACATGGTTGCCGCTTCCTACAGAGAAAGTTTTCAGAGAAAAACATCGAAGATATAGAGATGATCTTTTGTGAGATCATCAACCATATTGCGGAGCTTATGACAGACCCTTTTGGTAATTACTTAGTTCAAAAGCTTCTTGAGGTTTGCAACGAGGATCAACGAATGCAGATTGTTCATTCGGTAACTAGAAAACCAGGAGAGCTTGTTAAAATTTCTTGCGACATGCATGGGTATATATATATATATACACCTTCTCTTCATGTGAATTCATGCCATTATGTGTGTGTGTTTAGCATCTGAAGATTGATGTCTCGTATGCAGGACTCGTGCTGTTCAGAAGATCATTGAAACGGTGAAGTTGGCAGAGCAGATTGCAGTTGTCCTTTCAGCCCTGAAGCCTGGTATAGTGACTCTGATCAAGAATGTGAATGGTAACCATGTTGCTCAACGATGCTTGCAATATTTGTTGCCTCACTGTGGCAAGGTAAGATACTACTGAAAAAATATTCATATGGATTTACGCACATTTATTGACGAAATCTGACAGACCAATCTTTCTTTCATTTCTATTTCTCATTACCCTTTTGTGAAAGATTTCTAGAAGTTAAAATTTTCCTTTTCCTCAGTTAATTTTCGAAGCTGCAATTACTCATTGTGTTGAGCTTGCAACTGATCGCCATGGCTGCTGCGTACTTCAAAAATGCCTTGGTCATTCTGAGGGTGAACACAGACACCTTTTGGTCTCTGAAGTCGCTTCCAATGCTCTACTCCTCTCCCAAGATCCTTTCGGGTATATACTCTTGTCTGTTTCCTGTTATGTCTCTCACTCACCAGCAAGAGCATTGTTCCGATGACTTTGTCCAAGAGTTTGCATAACCATGCCTGTGCTTATCTGTGTATGTATCGATTTATACGGTCTTGTCTGTGTATGTATTGATTGATATGGTCTATTGCAGGAATTATGTCCTCCAATTTGTCTTTGAGCTTCAGCTTCAGTGGGCAGTCCTAGAAATTCTCGAGCAACTAGAGGGCAACTACACAGACTTGTCCATGCAAAAATGTAGCAGCAATGTGGTTGAGAAGTGCCTGAAACAAGCCGATGATGAACACCGTGCTCACATTATCAGAGAATTTATAAATGATGGCCGGCTTGATCAGGTCATGCAGGACCCTTATGGAAACTATGTAATCCAAGCAGCCTTGAAACAATCTAGGGTGAGTAACAAAACTCCTAAGTCTGAGCAAAGAGGAAAAAGACAAACTTTTTCTTGGTTTAGTGCCCCTTGTTCTGGATAAAGATCAGATTACTTGGTCGAGGCATGGTCATTTCATGAATTCTGCCTTCAATTTAGGTTGACATAAGCAGAATCCATGGCTTTAAGCTGAAAGTTATAACCTTCTTGAGAGGTTAAACTGAAAGTTGTAATCTTTTTGAGAGGTGAAATGATATGAAGCTAATGTACATGAACCTTTCTGAGCAGGGAGCTCTCCACGCTATTCTGGTGGATGCCATAAAACCGCATATCCCGTGTCTCCGGACCAATCCGTACGGGAAGAAGGTTCTCTCCGCCCTTAGCTTGAAGAAATAATCAAAAGGTACAACCAAAAACCTCCTACCCTCTTATCAGTTTCCCGGACTATGACCGGCTCTGGCCAGGTAACTTTGATCTGTTGCCATTGCAGGTTGTGTCAACTTGCAGTTTGGTAAGTGTCTTGTAAATCTATGTAATAAAAAAAGCTTTTGCCGGGTTTGGTTTGAAGATTCATGAGTGCTCTGCTTGTTGCATATGCGCAGAAATGTGAGGGAAACTACAACACCTCCTCCATATTTTTTTTGTTGTGTTTTTCGAGTTTGGTGAGAAGCTTTGTTCTTCTTCTCCCTCCTCTTTCCGGGCAGGATTCAATTCTTTTTTGAATGACACGCAGATTTCTTGTTATGTTATGTAGAACATAGATTTCATTTGAAGATCTGATAAATCATAATATATATTACCTACCCAGTCCGAACATAAACAAAGATGTTCAGCGTTCTCAACATCAAGATGGGTAACAGCTTCTGCAGAAACTCATCAAAAACAGACCCGATTTTGATCAGAGGGCAAAGAGTATAAGGATGCCATAGGATTGGTGAAGAAAAGATTCATAATTTGGCGATGCGGGCCCACTGGGAACGGTGGTCAAACCGATGTTCCAACGATCTTGGAGCTCGAAGCAGCAGGCCCATGGAACAGGCGCACGTCGCTGATCCTCGGACAGATGGAACGCCTTCTCTCCCAAGCGGTTCCTTCTGTCCGAACGCCACTGCCAAAACCGCCATTGTTATTCCGGAGATCCTTTTTTTAAGAAGATGATGAACTTCTGGGGAGAAGGAAGAGATGGTTTCTTGGGTGAGAAGGAAAAGGGTTTGAAGAAATGGGCGCCAATGGATGGATGGCCAGGAGACAGACAGTCATGGTCGTTTGACTTTGTGTTCGTTTTTTTGGGTACTTATGCTTTAGACAATGACATTTTTATTTTTATTTTTACCAATCACGAGTAAGAAAAAGACTATTTTATTTCTTGCTGTCGTTTCCTATGGCAGACACCTGGAACTCCTCTATGATACGCTAACCACAAAAAATCTATATATATAATAATAAGGTTTAAAGCAATATGGTGAAGCCACCTCATCTCCACCTCATCATCTATGTGGCATTTGTTTTAATTTTTATTGACTATTAAAATTCTCATTAGTTATTTAATTAGAATATTATAAATATGATTTTGGGAAAAAAATAAGAACTTTAGTTTCATATAATGAAAATAATTTCTAATTTCGTTGTTAGTTTAATATATTAAATTCAAATGATATTATTTTGAAAAAATTATGTCCAAATAAAAAAATGAATTTTATTTATATTATATTTGTGTGCATTTTTAAATTTACCTTCAAAATAAAAATAATAAAAAAGTCAATTCACGTCATCCTATTGATTTTCAATAAATTTTTGTTCTTATTAAAATGATAATATGTTAATCTTTATTTATAATTGAGTTTAACAATTCATCTTTATTTATATGTTAATTATGGTAACTAAAATGATAATATTTTGAGAAAATAAAAATCATTTGGATTAGATTTAACATGTAATTAATATTTGGTAGAATAAAAAGTTAAAAATATGAAATGACCAAGATTATTTATTAGCTCAGTAATGGGAGAAACATATCATTATGCATAGTGGTCATTACTTTGGGTGGTGAATGGCCATGGCTATTAATTTGACAATAGAGTAGGCGATCATCTAGCAAATTTTTAATTATCATTGAAAAATTAATAATAACCAAATAAAATATAATAATATCAGTTTTAAATGCCAAAGTTTTTTCAATACCTCTCACTTTTCTCATATTAAAATTAATTTATTATTAAAATAACTAAATCTAATAAAATATTAATATATTTTAGTGTGAAACGTATCTTTCATTTATATCTCTTTCCGCTCTTCTAATATTATTAAGAAACGTTTCTTTCATTTATATATCCTCCCACTCTTCTCATATTATTAATTATAATCAATGTCTTAATAATAACTGATTTTTGTGTAAATACCAATTAACGATATATATATATATATATATATATATATATATATGTGTGTTTCGTATTTCATTCATCCACTATATCTTGAACGCATCCCATAAAAAAAACCGTGGACCACAAATATTTTTCCTTCTCCACATATTTGTACGTCTATATTCCACGGATAGAAGAGGTCACCGCACCGTCATGGAGAAAGAAAGAGGAGATGAAATACGACATAGAAGACGAAGACTGTGAGATGTGCAGGAAGGAGTGGATCGTTCTTTGCTATGACTGCAAGTCATGCAAGTTGGGTTTCATCAGAACTCTTCGCCGGAAATAGTGGAAGCTCGACGTCTTCTGTCTTATACATGTTTTTTTCCTCTTACAATTTTATTTGTATTTCCATACCAAATAAAATATTAAGTACACACTATTATATATGTATATATATTGGCATCTCATTACGTTATGATAATTAAGTATACATAAAATGAAGCATTACATAAAAAAGAAAAATGTCAATAGATTATATTATAATTAAAACAATTAAAAAGTTCGCCTCAATTATATATAAAATAAAAAAAACCGTCACCTAAGATTGAATGGTAGTAAATAGATGTCTTCAATATAACCATTATAATCCTCCATTACCTTTACATTCGTTCCATATATTTAGTACTTAGTGGGATAAAATATTAAAACAAAAAAAAACGGAGGTCAAATCGCTCAAACGTCGATTATATTTATTATCTCTGATTGTTGTTGTTGGTACGTTGGAGTCTCTCTCCTATATAAATATTGTCACCTATATGTTAAAAAACCACAAAAAAAGTCTCACGAAATTTTCAGGGAAAAAAGGAATAAACAGATCTATAGTTATGATCCAAGAAATGTGGGAAATAGCGAGTACCCTCAGTGAAGAACTCATTGCAGGCTGTCAAGCAACGGTCGGTCATGTTTCACCGCAAATTTTCTACCATAAACGACTACCAAGAGATTCATGGGATGATCAATTGAATCTCTAATATGATCTTTTCACATGGGCAATCCGGTTTCAGTTCTTATGTGCATGTGTTTTCGCCATTTGGATTTATATATATATATATATATTTTTTGGGTAGGAGATGAAATTATGGTTTATCTTAAGAAGTGTGATGTGCTATTTATAGAGTATCGGTTTAGCATTCGATTTAGGATTCGGTTAAGGCTATTTTCCGTAGTATAAATATTTGTAATTGTTTATCATTAAAATCAGTTCTCAAATTTTCCTCTTTCCAGTTGACCGCCGTACTAAATGGAACCACGTGTGATCATATTTTGGTTTTATGATTTAAATGAAGTCATCTAGGCATTCTATATGGAAATTAATATCCACATATATTATTTTATGATTTTTTAAATAATGGAAATTAATAAAATTAATAAACCAATTTTTGTAATGTACATTACAACTGAAATTAATAAAAATATATTATTTGTCAAATATTTTATTTTCTATATTAGAAACTAATTAAAAATATATTTTTCCTTTATCAAATAAATATTCTATGTTATTTTTTCCTTTTATTAGTTAATAAAATTTTATTCTCAAATTGGCTTTATTATACAAAACTTTTATTTTTTTAAAAAAATATATTGAATCGTAGAAACTAATTAATTAAAAAGTATATTTCCAGGTATCAATAAATGTTTTGCTTTGCATTCCAAAACGTTATCGAAGTGATTTATAAAAACTAATGGCTTAAGCCACATATCAAATATTATGGCAGATTTTATTATCATTGAAAACCCATAGTAATGATGATATTAATAAATATTAATTTATCTAAAAGTTTAAGCGTAACCATGTGTCTTTTCATTTGCAAACAAATAATAATCGATCTAAAGACATATAGCAATCAGGTGTCTTTTTATTTGTAAAGATATTTTTTTATAAAACATTCAGTATTATATTCCAAAATCAAAATCGTCATGATTTAATGGTAATGGCTTAAAAGCCATACACCAAAAATTAAAAACTTTAAATATAAATAAATATCAACATTTGATCCTTAGAAACATTTTATTCCAAAATTAGCATATATTACATGCATATATATTGGGGGATCAAGCCAAAAACCAAAAAAAACTAAATCGTGGTAGTCACGGTAGGAGAAGAGGAGATGGATGTGAAGTTGGAGGATTACGGTGATATTTCTACAGTCCCCAACTGTGGAGAGAGAGTAACCCGATGGTTTCCGTTGGAGATTTTGTCTCTCTTGAAGATACAATCGGAAATAGACTAAACTTTTAGAAATTATGCTTTTAAGTCTCTCTTGTAGGAATAAATCTCCATATTTATTTTGTTACTACTCCAAACTATATATACATATATAACACATTTGTATATACATATACATATATATATATATGTATGCATATTAGTCTTATCTGAGGATTATTATTTTTATTTTCAATTTGATGTAACTATTACTCACGATTTTTATACAGGACCTCATATGTATCTCATATGTATATGCATATATATACATGTCTTTCTACATATACTCATATGTATGTGTTCTTGAAGAATGGGTTTCTAAACACACATATATGCATATATATATATATATATTTATGTATATGCAAGTATATATCTTATATGGATTCTTGATGAATGACCAGGAAAATGGCTGAGCTTGGGTATCGAAGAAGTGTCAAGAAATGTAAGGAGAAATTCGAGAATGTGTACAAGTACTACAAACGTGTACCAAAGTCGGCTTCCAACGAGTTTTACGTTTCATTTTTTATGCTATATGTTTTAATTTTTTGTAGTACAAATGATATTCGTGTGATTTTTTGAGATGCGATATAGGTTTATGGTCAAATTCGAGAACACAAATATGTAACCAATAATCATTTTGGTGATCAATATAATTTAAATTAGGAAGAATTAAAACATTATAAATGATAATATTTTTTGTCACAGTTTGTAAATAATTTTAAAAATTATTTTTGTTATATATCGAAATTCACGAATAAATTTGTATTAAATTATGAAGTGAATAACAACTCTTTCCTCATTTTTTTTTGCATTATTTTGTTAATGAAATTACACAAGTACTCAAAAGTATTCTTTGAAGTCCTTTAAAACGCCAAACCCGAATTAGCTGAATTCTGCTCTGTCGTGAAAGACAACAAAGTGCACCATTGTAGTGTTAATGTATTGTTTGGAAAGGATTTGCACATATTATAATTGGCCAAAAAGTACATTGAAAAGAATAGTGTAAACATAATATATATATATATATATATATATATATAACGAACACATAAACAATTGAAATTGACTGAAACGTCGGTAATTATGAAAAAATATGGTTTTTATTTTTAATTTGGCGATAATGGTGTGGAAACATTTGATTAGTGAAAGTTTAGTTAGGTTGGAATCCGATCATTGTTGTTTCCTACACACGCATAATATATATATATCAAGTTCTATAAGATATGTTTCATATCACTTATTCATGCTTGCAAAACAATAATATATAAAGTTTCAAAATAAATAAAAAACCAATAGACACAAGTTAAACAATAATAAATTTCAGATTATTTTACGAAAAATATTTTTGTTGAAAAGGTTGATGATATTATTTGTAATATTGCAAAGAATTTTTTTTTTGTATGTTTATATTACTACTTGCTATCTTTGCCAAACAAAAAATTTACCATGTTCGTCAAATTACAAAAGAAATTAAAAAACTTATCTGTGGAGTTTAAAAGGTGAAATATTTCTCCGGTAGTATATATCATTAGAGTTTTGATTTCATTACGGTGTCCAGGTAACTTAATTTTCTTATCATTCAGTATATAGTCGAATATTTGGTATGCTTCAGAGATATCAAAAAGAATCTAAAAAATTCTAAAAAATGATATCTTATTTCGACTATAAATAATGATAGTTTTTGTTTTTGGTTTTTTGTTTTGGTCTTTGGTTTTCATAGTGTTTATAGTTTTTATAAAATATGTATATAAATAATATCATTTTGGATGTGTTCGAAGAAATTATGTATATATGTATATATTTTAATATATATATATATATATGTTACATGTATTTAATGTATAACATATATGTATATGTATATATATATATATAATTATGTATATGTATGTATAACAATGAGAACATTTAAAATAAATCATTGATATAAATCATCAACACAAATATAGTAATTGCTTTTTTTGATTTTTTTAAATATATAATTTTCTAATAATTTATATTTTTCCAAAATAAAAAAAACAATACATATTGATACTAAATCTGTATCAAAAAATATTAAAAATTAAAATAATTTTTATAAGTATAACCCGCGCATTGCGCGGGTCTTACCTAGTAATGAGAAAAATCACGTTATTCCGCATGATTTATCCACAAACGAGAGGAAAAAAATATCAAATCAATATTTAATATTTCAAGCCACTAATAGCGTTATAGGGAAAAAAAAAACTAAATTAGCAAAAACCATTATGATTATGGATGATGATGATAATGGATTACGAGCATCATCATAATCATCCACATCATTCACCTTTAAAAAAAAAAGTCAACCCTTCAAAAGCAAAGACTGAACCCAGAAGGAGCCGATAGAGGGGAAAAAAAAAAGAAAAGGAAAACTCCAAACTTTATCTCGGCTCTCTAATTATGCGCGCATTCACCCACGAATCGGACGGAATCATCCCTTGATTCGGACATGGTGTTCAACGGCGCGATTGTGATGTCCGTAGCCCACTTCTCGGCGGAGGTTTGGCAGCGGTTGCGGCGGATTCCACCGCCGGAGCAAATCAGCAGCGGCGATATGCTCGAACTCGTCTGCTGCTTCCCTCTCCGGCAACTGGGTCGACTCGCTTCGTGGTTCTGGACTTATCTCTGTGTTCCTCCGCCAGATCCGTTCGATTATTATGACGAGGACGATGAAGACGATGATCGAGGTTATGTTAATCATGGGCCATCGTCTTCTTCCTCGTCTTACGTTGGTACATATCAGACTTACTACCACCTTCATTTGGATTGACTGGATTTTGCCTTTTCTTGTAAAGTTCTCTTCTTTCGGAATGACCATTCTTCTCCCACTGTCTGTATAGAAGAAATTTGATGTTTTTTTGGGTATTGGGTTTGCAGAGAATCGGCCGATTGGCGATTGCAAATGCCATATAGTCCATTCCATTTCATAAATTTGAGATTTTTGTTTATCAATTAGTTCCACGTGTTGGTCAGTTGATTCACTCATGCGTAATAGAAAATTGCCGCTTGTTTCTTGTTCTTTCTGTAGGTTTTACATAAGGTAAAAAGGAATCAGGACTCTTTGAACTCTCTGCTGATGCATAAACTCGAATATCTGTTATATTTGAAGTTGCAATTCCGACAAAGGAATCAAAGTAATCTCTTTTAACCTGTTCTTGGTAGTAATCTGCTTTGCCAGTGTCTTCAAATCTTTTCTTCCTCGGAATTGTTAGCACTAGTTCGTATATTCGCTCTGATGAGTTTAGATCATCCAGCGAAAATCGGGTGGAGGTGAAGTGATAACCATGGAATCTGTGGCCAGGGTTTGATGCAATAGGAGGTTTAGGAAAGAGGGTTTGGAGTTCATTAGGCTAAACTTGGATAAAACGGCGGGTAGCTCGCTTTGCTGTTCATATTCTCCGCTCACAGAATAGTTAAAGATGAGGCAGACATGGAACTCGCAGTTATTATGTGATCAGACATATGGATTCAATTCATTCGCCACTGACGATCGATTTGGAGAGTTTCTTCTTTGTGTTTCTGCAAGACTTGATGCGGTTAATGCCTTATTCATGATCTCCTCTCCAGCTGTAGATTACATTTGTTCAGTAGATGAACTTGCCAACCTGGTGTGACAGATTATCACAATCCTTGTGTCTCTTGGCCTGCTTTCCAATATATTTCTGATATCCAAAACTTCGGGACAGAAGGAGAATGAACTGTGGAGATCATAGTGGATGCCTGGAGAGGCAGAAATGGCGATCAAATCTCTGGTTCTTGCGGAACTGAGACATCTAATGCCTTCTGATAAACTTCATTTGGGCTTTGGATAAACCTTTACAAAAGATCTCTGCACTTGTTCATTTTGATCGAAATCTTGCAGGACAGGACAGGTGGAGACAGAACAGCTTCTCTGTCGTGTTGCCTTCGAGTTCCTGCAGGTAATTAACACCCAATGTGAAGTTGTTCTTTTTGGCTTGAAGAAAAGATTCCACGTCCTAAAGGATCTTGATCCTATTTCAATCACTTGTTCATCTCATTAGTTTCTTGATCTCCGTTCAAGTTGCAGAGTTTTCTGCAATCCTATCCAAAAGGGACGCAGATAGACTGTTCTGAACTCGTCGTTTCCCATGCACTGACCGACTCGTACCTTTTTTTCTTCTTCTTCCCGACAAAATCAATGAGATCTTAGGAACCGTAGAATGTTTAGTCGTAATTTTTGTTTTTAAAAAAAAAAATACGAGATGCATACGTTTAAGAAGAGGCATGATGAATTCATGGGTTGGTGTATTGTATATTGCAGACAAAACAGTGCCCACTTTTTACACAGTTTTCCATTCACTTGCATTCGAGCGTATAATTATTATGCATACGCACATAAGTCATGAGTTTGCATGTGTACGTATGTCTCCCTACGTACATACAAAATTATATATATATATATATATATATATATAGTTGGTCTCCTCGTATAGTCCACCTTCTGTTATTTGCATGCCCCTGTCCATTCCCACCCAACGTTTATATAAAATCCACCAAATCCAAAATGTGTATTTGTCTGCTGCTTCTATGGTAGGATGTGAATCTACATGACAATGCATAATGAAGTTAATCCATGTCAAATGTTATGGTTATAATCAAAATATTGAAGATAGCCAAAAAAAAATCCATATAAAATCATGAATTTTACAACTTATATATAAAATCATGAAATTTATTAATCATGCCAAATTCTCAAAAGTTAATAAATAGGTGGAAATATGATAAAATTTATAAAAGATGGTAGGTATAAAGTTCATGATTTTTATATAATTTTTTTTTTAAAGTTTGTGATTTTTAAGATTAATGTATCTAAAAAAGACATTTTGGGTTATCTTTGCAATTTGCAAGTGTCATGTGTATTCAAAATCTATTGTATCATTTCCATCTTATCCATATGATTGTATTGAGTATAATTGCTGACTTGGACATTCACGCATGCACATATAATATAAGTTAAGTATTTTTATGATTAGAATTTAGAAAAGACAACAAGGTGATTAACGAGGATCATGGCGTAATTAGTTAAATATTTTGCCTTTTTTTTTTAATTTTATTTTAAACACACCAAAAAAAAAAAGATAATAAAAAAAAATCTCCACCTCCAAAAATGATCGCTTTTCATCTGTTTTGACAAATTCCCCTTTCATCACTTTATTGATAGTTTTCGGTTACAATAATTTCATTAACCACTCTAATAATTAATATCTGTCTAATTGATTTGTAATGGAACTGAACTGATTAATAAGATCCACATATTATGGATCTTTATAATATTGAATTTGTTAAAGATATTTAAAAACCTATTTAAAAAGGTGAACGAACACCTTAAAGTTTCATGTATCTGGTAAAGTTGCATATTTGTATCCGTAATTAAAATACTATTTAATCTCAAGAATCTCTTTCTCTAAAATATAAATAGCTTAATCACTACATTATTAATCTGTATATAAAATGATGTTAATCTGAAAAAATATCTAGTTTTATTCCTTTAAAATATAAATATTTGTAACATAATAATTGAATTTTCTTAGTTATAAAACTTTTTTTAAAAGAGATCACAAAAATCTCTTTTTGTGGAATCTCATGATGATGTTCTGCTGCACTGTGACTCCTTGGATTCCCTTGTTCATTTGCACTTTCATTACCGTTGGTTAATTTTTTTTCTCTCTTTCCATTTTTTACCCTTCATCTAACAGACGTCATAGCGTACACGTGTACGGTGATTAATCCATGTGGTGCAGTAACGCCGTCAAACAATAAACGGCAAGTGACGGTCTTTCCGTTGTGCATCGGTAACGGCGACGGACCAACCAACAGCTCCATCGGGAGACAGAATCTGTCTGACCTTCCCATAATGCCCTCGAAATTGGTCTCTTTTTTTTATCAATTGTATAATAAATTTTAATATGTAATATATTTTTAAATAAGCTGTTTATAAGACAAAAAGTACGAACAAATTTTAAAAATATAATAATATATAATTCTATAAAACGTAAAATTTCTATATTCTAAATTCAAAATATGAACCATACCTCTTAACGTAATAAACATAATTGATTATGTTATACAATCTAACCTATATATATATATATATATTTCTGTATCATTGCTAAATGGAATGGAAAAGGTTTTAACATGTCTAATAGAAAAACTAGTTTAACCTCCTTTGATATCAACAACTTCTATTTTTAAATAAAACTTGTAAGATTTCTCAGTTTGGAAATACAACCATTTTATTTATAAAATACAACCTTTAGCATATTTAAAAATTTTACTTTTCAAGTCATAATGTAATGGTAATACAGATGCTAATTTTTAATTAAATAAAATTAGTCATTCCACAAGTAATATCATGGGTCAAACATTTTTTTTTTAATTCCTGAAAAAGTTGGCACTTTTTGCAGAAACTGTTCTATGATTTATTAAATTATCTTTAAAGCCAGTGTTAGATACGATGTTTCAGAATATTGAAATTATAATTTTTTAGAAATATAATTGAAGAATCTATCTTAAATGAAAAATAAAAAGAATTTATTCGGTATGTATTATTTTTTTTTCTATATCATTATTTGATTACAATAGAAGAATATATGCTGAAACTCCGTACAACATTGTTATAATATCCTGTACACTCCTTATATATTATATAAATTCGATGGTTGGTTTTGAAAATTTTGTATAGTTTTTCTCACTATAGTTAAAAAAATTAATATATTAATTCTGAAAATATCGTAATTATCCATCACTAGTGCCTAGTGGATATTTTTTCTGTTTAGTGACATATGAACTCTGAGTTATTATATAAATCAGTCGGATTTAAATATATTGTAGATTAGAGGGTTATAATTGGAATTCCAGTTGGTCGAGTCGTGAATTTACATCGACTCGCTCGCCGGGCCTGTTGGGCTCCACTTCCTTTTATTTTATTTTATTTTTAATAGCGTCATTGTTGCAAACTCTGTTCATATAATTTTATTATTTTATCAGAAACTGTGAAATTCGGAAAACCGATTAAATTTTATATTCCGCGCAGATTTTTTAAAAAAAAAAACTGAAAATGTTAAGTGGGAATAACCTTCTTTTTCTTATATTTTAAATTTTTAACGTACTGTGTAAATGTTATCAAATCTAATAATATTTTGTTGCAAGTGTTTCTTTTAAATTCGTCGAAAGTTTTAGAATATTTATACATACATATATATATATAGAGAGAGATTAGCATATAAAATTAATATGCATAAGAAGTTTACACCAATTATCTAATAATGAATATGGTTTCAGAGAGATTCGCATATAAAAAAACAAAACCTTGTTCAATTTGACCTGCAAAACTCGGGTTTAGGAGTAGATTTTTAAATTCGGTCCTTTATTGTTCCTCTTTAAAACGATGAAAAGGGAGTTTGAAATTAATGGAGAAATAAAAGTAAGAGAGAGAGAGAGGCTGACGAGAAAAGGGGGGAGAGAGAGAGAGAAAGTGGAGTCTTTTCATCATCAAAGAGAGAGAGAGAGAGAGACCCACTTCCATGTACCAGTGGCAGCAGCAGCAGCACTACTGGTGGTAGTGGAGGTTGCCCAAGAAGGAAGAAGACCAAAAGGTGTTAGCTTTCTTAAACTACGCCTCAAGTGTGCGCAGGGTAAGCGGAGCGAAGGCAAAAGCTTCCTCTTCTTCTTGGCTCTGCAGAAGTATGTGGAGGAGGAGGATGAGTGCGGCGCATTGTAGCAGCAGGGGGAGGAGGGTCTCGAAGGGGCTTCTTGCTTTGTTCTGCTTATGGGGACTGCTCTCGCCAACATGCGCCGCGAGGTTCGGTGTCTCAAGGCAGAGTTTCGAGGTGAAGAAGCACTTGAAGCGCTTGAACAAACCAGCCGTTAAGAGCATTCAGGTTTTGGGTTTTTCTTTTGTCCTTCCTTAACCACATTCTCATAAGAAAAATTTGTCTTTATCTTTTCAAGTTTTTCCTTTGGGGGCGTTTGTTTGGTTGCTGAGAAAGTGCAAGAAAGTGATATTTTTGGTTTCAATCAAATGCATCTGAGCCATTCTTCCTTTTGGTGGACTGATTATTACGACTTATGGGTGTTACAATTCCTGATGGGTTCTAAGAGTTTATGTGTTCAAGATCGTATATGAGAACCCTAAACGAAACTAGTTTCCTGTAAAATTCCTGATTTTTCTTGATATTTAAACAGAGCCCAGATGGGGATGTGATAGACTGTGTTCACATATCAAAGCAAGCGGCTTTTGATCATCCCTTCCTCAAGGACCACAAGATTCAGGTTTTGTATTACACTCTCCACCATTATGTTTTCTACTCATCAATTGCCTTTTCCTTAGCAATAACCTGTCTTGTCTTGTGGAACATTGTTCTTGTTTTGAACAGATGAGACCCGGTTATCACCCAGAAAGGCTGTTTGATGAGGACAAAGAACCCGAAAATCCGAAACAGAGAGTGAATCCCATCACTCAGTTGTGGCACCAAAATGGGAAGTGCCCTGAAGGGACAGTACCTGTGAGGAGGACCAAGGCAGAGGATGTCCTGAGGGCGAGTTCTGTGAAACGCTACGGCAGGAAGAAACACCGTTCTGTCCCTCAGCCTCAGTCTGCTGACCCCGACCTTGTCAACCAAAGCGGTCATCAGGTAGATCATTAGATCACTTCTCTCTCTCTCTCTCTTGTCAGAAATGGTTTCCTGAACTTGCTTTGGAGACACTGAAAATCTCTTACAGGGCCCTTGTGATGGAATTTCATATCATTCTTGTTCTAATCTTTCTCTGTTCTCATGTGGGCAACTAGCATGCAATAGCTTATGTGGAAGGAGGCAAGTTTTATGGAGCAAAGGCGACTATAAATGTGTGGGAACCCAAAGTACTGAACCCTAATGAATTCAGCTTGTCTCAGCTATGGATTCTTGGCGGTGCTTTTGGTCAAGATCTCAACAGCATTGAAGCCGGTTGGCAGGTGAAATTTAGCCATCAGTTTTAGCATTGAATTCCAGCAGTACATCACCAACTACGTCATATTCTTAAATTCTTTTTGATGGACTCAAAACAGGTGAGCCCGGATTTATACGGCGATAACAACACGAGGCTTTTCACGTACTGGACGGTAAGATTCCCGAACTACACCTGAAATTTTCTTCAGGTGTATGTGCTGGGCTAATGGGGGGTTTCTTCTGAAATTCTTTTGATTGAACAAATTAACAGAGCGATGCGTATCAAGCTACCGGCTGCTACAATCTCCTTTGCTCGGGTTTTATACAAATCAACAGTGAAATAGCCATGGGAGCCAGCATTTCTCCGGTATCTGGCCTCCATAGCCCTCAGTATGATATCAGTATACTCATCTGGAAGGTAAAAAACTTACCTTTTCCGTGCACACAATTCATCGTTATCATCACGTCTTATGGGCAGCCCTAAAAACGTTGAGCTTTTCCTCCCTTTCAGACCAAATTGTCTTCTGTCTATCTGAATTCACAGTATAAACTCTTTCATCTGCGAAACTTAGAACTGTTTCCAAGAACACGGATGGATCTTTCTAAACCTTATTCCTTGTAGGATCCGAAAGAAGGGCACTGGTGGATGCAGTTTGGGGATGGATACGTCCTAGGCTACTGGCCGTCTTTCCTGTTCTCGTATTTAACAGACAGCGCTTCAATAATCGAATGGGGAGGGGAAGTGGTGAACACAGAAGCAGACGGCCACCACACTTCCACGCAGATGGGAAGTGGTCGGTTTCCAGACGAAGGATTCACCAAAGCGAGTTACTTCAGGAACATCCAAGTGGTCGACCATTCCAACAATCTCAAAGCTCCTAAAGGGCTCAACACTTTCACCGAGCAGTCCAACTGCTACGATGTTCAGATGGGTAAGAACGATGACTGGGGTCATTTCTTTTACTACGGAGGGCCCGGTAGAAACCCTAAATGCCCCTGAAAATTAAACGCCATGAACGGAAAGAAGAGATGATCAACAGAAGAAAAAAACGATCTTTTACCGGGTTTTTCTTCGTCCATGTGAAATATGATTGATTCTAGTTGATTTTCGTTACGGTTACCTGTCCTCTCATTTCGTAGACATTGTTGTTCTTGGGTCTGTAGGTTTTTTCTGGGTAAAGGTCAGTGCAGTGGTGTATAATGTGGTTCCACTGAATGGGATTTTTTGGGTCATGTGGTTTCTTGGCTTGCAAGTAAAGCTTTTCCTGTTGTGAGTGTGAATGAGTTGTAACTTGTATTGGTTTGTTCATCACCTTTCTTGGTTTTGTCTAATTGTATGAGAAAGTTGGAAACCTTTGGTATTATTCGGAGTCTTTGCAAGAGGGAAAATTCTCTCTCTCTCTATAGGAGTTGAATAGATGAAGTTTTTAGAGTTTTTAAAATTTAAAAACCAAAAAAAAAATGATAATTTTGTAAATTTAGTTATAAAATTAGTTATAATTGTTTTGTTAACGATTGATTTCATTTTGCATTATCTATATATCGGGCTTATTACAGACGAAGAAAGAAATATATGTTTAAATAATAATTATAATTAACATGTAAATTCTTGTCATCTTTTGGTATATAATTGCGTACACTTAATTTGCTGTAATTTTAGCATGATTCAAATAATTAATATAAGATCTCAATATCAACTAATTAATTTTTTGTAACGTGATATTTAGATACTAATCTTATAATAAGCAACAAAATGATACGACGAATCAAATATCAGCGGCGGTAAATATTAAATTAAAAAAAAACGGAAAAAGAAAATACAATAATTGTGGGATGGTGCCAACCATGTTACTCGATCACATGGAACCACCAAGCAAAATCCAATAAATATTTATCGACTCTTCTCATTTTTACGTATAAACAAACCCTAGAAAACAGCACATGCTTTCTCTCACAATTTATTTTCATTTTGACAAAAAAAAAAATGTCTAATTAACTGCATAATTCTTGGACCGACCAATTAGATTAATGTTTATTAACTAACATAGGGAATGTAGACAAATAATATAACCTTTGAACAAATATTGTTACGAATTCGAGTTTAATTTCGTGTGTATAAAAATATGGCATCAGAAAAATTTAGATTGGACCAACCAAACAATATCAATTTTCGTGTGGTCAGACTTATTTCTATAATTTCATTAATCAATGTAAAATGTTTTCCCTAACTATTAATTATAAATTAATCGAGCATGCGTTAGCCTTTTTCACCTATTTTTTTATACACTGTTGATGTCATCGTGTGGACCAAAGCCCTTGCGTGTCATGAATTCACCTCTTACAGTACAACAGTCGCATAAATTATTTGGTTTCTTATGTATAGTTCCATACTATATTATATAATTTAATATTATATCGAGTTGGACCAGTGGTTAAACATTATAATTTTTAATATATGCTTTGGTGTAAAGTGGCATTGTACACATACACACTTGGACTTGCATGCGTATATATGTCAGTATAAATACCCACAAACTCAAAACCCTTTCCTCTCATCATTTGCTCTCTCTCTCTCTCAAGTCTCATCTCGTATAGATCACACATAACTGAAGAGCACAAGAAATATTAATGGAGGCAATGAAGATGAAGCTCTTCCTGGCGGTGGTGTTGGCGGCGGCGATGGCCTTCTCCGCCGTGAATCCGGCGGCTGCCTCCGTGGAAGCTCCGGCGCCGAGCCCTCCCTCCGGCGCTTCCTCCTTTGTTCCCGCTCTCTTCGCCTCCGTAGCCGCTTTGGCCTTCGGTTTGCTCATCTAAGCAATATATATATATATATATATATATATGCTCTCTAATAATTTATTTTAAAAGATTTAAATAAAATCTTCGTATTGACATTGTCGTGTTATGCTGTCTTGTCTTGTCTTGTCTTGTCGTTGGGATTCTTGGAGTTCCGGTGATAATGGTGGTGGTAGTTTGATTGACGTGTTCTTTGTTCTCTCTCTCTCTATATATATATATATGTATTTCATGTATTAATGTTGTAAGATTTGATTCGTCTCTGTATTAATAAAATCTATTTTCCCCCCTTCTTCCGCTTAATTTCTTTACTTAATTATAATTACAATGTGGTGCAACGGACTATGTACCAAACTAAAATGAACGAATACATCATCTACAAAAGAATTGAGATAACATATGAATTTAAAATAGATGTCATATATATATATATATGTGCAACATAATATAAATTCAAGAAATTTACGTAACTGTTACAAAAAAAAAGGCATTAATTGACGTCTTAGCCTGCCGATAGCTACACTATGCTAATCGTTTTATGTATAACCCATGTTTAGTTTAGCATATCATTGGTTAATTAAAGAGTAAACAAATGAATAGGAATTTCTTGAATTAATCAAAAGAGTTTAAAAAGGCTGAAAAGGAGATTGAAGGCTTGTGTTATGTTTTTTTTTTCAAAGTGGGAGACAAAAGCAAATAACTTTTCTAAGCATCCTCTTTTGGACCCAACCGAACTTTTTTTCTTCTCTCTACGATATAGGAGAACGAACTTTACAACGGATTTATTATTATTATTATTATTATTAATAAAGGAAGATCATTTCGAATTTTGGTTCAGATTCGGTTTGGTTATATTCGAATTCGGTTATTTTTTTTTATATAAAAAATATAATCATTCGGTTTTATATAAACTTCGATTCAATTTGGTTTTGTTTCGATTCGATTGGGTTTGAATTCAGTTTTTTTTTTATTATAGAAAAGTTATGACCGTTCAGTTTATATATCAAATTCGATTCGATTATAATTATATCTTATTCGGTTCGGTTAATAATCAAAATGTCATCCTCTAATAATAATTATAGATAAAGATGGCAGAAAAGGGTTGAGATTGCACATAATTTTTTTGCGGGGTTAAAAGATAAAATTTTAAACTTCCGTAAGTGGGCCGTAAAACAAAAAATAATCGGGCCGAATTTTGGTGTCCGTTAGCTTTTTGAGCCCGTAACTGAACTCACCGTTAACATGGGAACATCTTCCTTCTCGTGAACATCATATATAAACCCTGTAGATATAAAACCGAGAGAAAACGCAACGGTTTCCATACGAGAGGAAGAGAGAGAATCACTCGATCTCTCTTCTTCTTCTTCGCCGGGAACCCTAACAACTAGTTCACGCCATTGTTGGAGGCTTTCACTGTTATCACCGCGTGATCATGGGCTGATCGCCTTCAAATGTTGCCGGGAATCGTCACTGGCCGACTTGGCGTGATCGGTTGTTCGACGCAGCGGCGTTAAAGTTAAGGCGATGCAGGTGATCGCTTAATTTTAATCTCTGGAAATCAAAATTCTTACTGGAGACTACTACTCATCTGATATGTATGCATTGTCTGTAAACGGGAATTAGAGAAAATGTTGATCTTCTCTGTAGCGTCGAATCCGAAATCTCCATTTTTGGGCTTTCTTCTAGAAGCCTGGCATCCTCGTATAAAATTTGGTACTGTCGTCCTAGGTTGCTGTCTGAACAGAGCACAAGGTACAAGTAGAGGAGGAGGGGTTTGTCCAAGTTTATTATCTGTTTGCCATCTCCAACTCCGCGGGGCCATGGCCGTGGTTATGTGGAGATGCTCCCACCTGTCTATTTGATTCTTCTCAACACAAGACGATCCCGAGGTAATGGATTTGTCTATAAGTTGATTCATTTTTGCCTGATTCAGGGGAAAGAGCAGTTTATAAGATACTTGAATATGTTACAGACCTGGGAAAGAAAACGAACCAAAACCGATGTCTCCGTTCTCATTCGGTTTCAGAAAACCCAGAATACAAACTGAACCGAACCGAGAGATTTGTTTTTGTTTTTGTTTTCTGATCATATCATAGCATAGGAAAAAGGGTTAAGCTTTAAACCTAAATTGGATGCATTTTTTTACAGTGGATTTTTGCTGATAAAAGCAGCTTTTATGCACAAGGAAAGTGAAGAAGGTTGTCTTGTTGCCTTCTTGGAGATTGTGGCTTTAGGGCTGAATGCTCTTTTGTGGCTCTGATCCAATAACCCACAAGAGCTCTTGCATGGCTTCATTCTCACAGCTCCACCCCCACTTCTGCTCCATTTCTTCTTGCAAAGATCCTCTATGCTTTTCGCATTTGCTATAGAAGTGAATGATTGTGATTTGCCTTCATAAAACTTGGACAACCCTCTCCTGTGATACACACCAGCATAACTCTTGTTAGTTTTTTGCTGTGTTTAAAATAAACAAGTTCTAGAGAAAAGGGTTGGTGAGATTCCAAGATTTAAGTGGAAGCAAAATGAAAAAGGATCCAAAGAAGCTTATGTTAGAGATTCATGTCAGCAGATCTATAAGAACCAGATGACATGAGGTCATTAGAATGAGTTCTGGAATCTCTAAAGCTGGTCTCGACTAATCTATCTATTTGTTCATGAAAAAACATTCTTTTTATATGTATGATGAATCTTTGGGTTCAAAATGATTGACCAGGAAACCATGTAATGAGATGGGAGATCTTATATATGGAGATGTTTTCTTACTTGATAGGGAGGTGATTCATGAGCTCAGATAGATCATGGAGAGGCCCATTTGAAGACGGTGATGATGAAGAAGAAGAAGAGGAAGCATCCTCTGCGAAATCTGATGAAGAAGACATAGATGAACATGATGAAGAAGAATCTCTTGAATCTTCTTCCAGGGATGTTTCATCTGATATTGAACTTGAGACTCCATCAATGTCTTCTTCTTCTTCAACCACGATCCTCGCATCATATCTCTCTTTTCCCATCTGCTCTAGATTCAGATGGGTGTTCATCTTTTCCTTTCTTTTCCTCTTCTCTTTCTTCTCGGATTCTTGAACAGCAACGAAACCGGAACAGGTGAGTTTCTTGTCAAAATGTTTGTGTTTTATAATGGGAAACACACAGACATGAGTCTTATCTCTCTCTCTATATATATATATATATATATATATATATCACTGTGTGTACGTAAATGCGTATGTGGATATATACAACAGACATAGACACGAGATACATATATGGATATGCAGAAGAGTTTGGGTGTCAGAGAAAAAAAGATAAAAAAGACTTGTAGCCTTGTAGGCAACACTTACGTGCAAGTCGTGGATAACGTTGACCCTTTATCCCTCCATTCATTTCATTTAATTTAGTTATTTATATATGCCAATTTATTTTTTAAATATTTGTTATAATTCCTTGTTTTTTGAATTAATTTATCGTTCCCACTGTTATGTTTTACCTTCTTTTCCTTGTTCTGAATTAGCAGTTTTTATTCTGCATTATAATCCCATTTCTTTTTAATTAATGTTAAAAATTCCATACTATATATAGTTGTTACAAAAAAAAGAGAGTTCTATTATAGTTTATGTGTATTAATTTTGACTGTTTATTTCATCAAAACATAAAACAATTGAGGTCTGACAAAGTAAGATATATAACTTGTACACAAAAATGAGTATTGTCGGTTAATATATATATATATATTATGGTTGATAATTTTTTATTCGTTGTTATTCCCCATACTGATAGGCAAGAAGATAAGACCCATTACTTGGAACATATCCATATCATATCCGACTCACCATCTCCCCCCTTATTATTATCTATATTATTTTTTTGTTTTATTTTTATTTTGGCTAAAAATTAAGGTTACATCATAGCACCTTTGATCTTCAAAGATTTGACAATTTTACATATTCTGATAATATTAATAATTATGCCCTATCCTTTAAAGCAAGATTCTTGTCTGTCCAGTTTTTTTTATTAGTATCTTTCCTTTTTTACTTTTATCCCAATACTAATACCATTAGACTTAGATATTTTGTATTTTAATTCAAATTTAGCTTCAATAATCTTATGTTTAAATATTTAATTTTTTATGGTATTTATAATACAGACGAGATTCTTCTCTCTTTTTTTTGCTACATTCTTTTTGTTTTTCTTTATGACTAGGCCTCATTTTTCTTTTTCTTTTTTGGTGTGCCTTAATTTCTTATGCACTAAATATTCATTTCTTTTAAAATACACATAGATCTATTTATGAATTGGTATATGACCACATACTTGTGTGTGCATATATATATATATATATGTCACATATGTTAAGAATGTCTATTTATTTATAGAATTTAATATTAATTGTTTTCAAAAAAAACATTTTTACCAAATAAATGCTTCACGGCAATTAAAAGCATTCTTTGTCTAAAAGTATAGAAAGTAAACAAATCTGTTATTCAATAATTCCCATACACAATTATCAACATAAATTATAATATACAAGACTTGTAAAATACCCAACCTGAAGCTTCATATCAATAAATGATAAAAATAGAATGCTCATGTTAAGTATTGTTGCCGACAAAAGGGAAAAAAAAAATTTAATTTAAGATATCAAAATGCTGACTCGAAACAAAACATTTGTGTGGAAGAGAATACATGGAAACCGAAGTTGACTCGTCCAAATCGTACCCATGACTCACCACCGCCACATGTTTTCCGTTGGTAGGATCTATGTGTAATAATCTTATCCTTCAATAGTCCCACAACTATGAAAATGTGTGTGTGTGTATATATATATATAACACCCACCTTTCTATTCATGCGTCTGTTCACATGCATCATGTGATACCATACTCATATGTTCATATAGCATTGACTCTGTACATAATAAAAAGAACATGGAGCATCATTGGCTTTGACATGATAAGGATTGATGAACATCAAATTATCATCATCATCATCATCTCACATCATATACCAAATGCGATAGGGATGAAGTGATGCAGAAGCAGAAGAGACTTATCTAGGGTAGTTAACAGGTGGTTCCAAGCTTCCAACAAGAATGCCAAGATCGATGTCCTTGTCCTCGAACTTTTTTATGAAGGGATGACGCTGAAAAATTACGAACGCATATCGCAGAAACATTTCGTAAAAAGATTCAGAAACTTTCATGTCGGGAAAGATTTTGAGAGTTCTGAGTGAATGTTTACATACCAATAGGTCCAAAGACGAGGATCTATCCCGAGGATCTTTCTGTATGCTGCAGTAATGTAAATGGTGATGATGACCCTTTAACGTATAAAACTGTTTTCCGCAATGAAATGATAGTTATATGATTATATAATAAGTACCAGGCTGATACAAAGGAGCAGAATTCGGGTGAGAATTGATTCGGAGGAGCAGTTGGTGGTGGACTTTCTACAATGGCAGCCAAGAGCTCGTAAAAGCTAGGAGAGTTCTCCTGATCTTCGGATTGTAAGTAAGGGAATCGTCCTATGGCGCATTCTAACACCGACAAACCCAAACTCCAGATGTCACTGCTGTATTCATACGTGCTCCCGCTAATTCTCTCGGGCTGAAGTGAAGAAGAAACGAAAAACTGATCAGGCTCTGTCATAAAGTTACTGATCAAGAAGCTGTGTAATGAATTGAGTTGAGAGGATTTCATAAGTGGTTGCGTACCGACATATAGTTGTAAGTTCCAACAAAGGTGTCCCTCTGACCCATGGAGCTAGCCAGAGATGCACTGACACCAAAATCTGATATTTTTACTTCCCCTTTATGGTTTACAAGGAGGTTCGACGGTTTTATGTCTCGGTGTATGACATGTCTTTCGTTGTGCAGGTACACGAGCCCTTGCAAAACCTGTAGAGACGACATAAAAGTTCTAAACAATGGTTCGAAACCGAGAAAGAGGAAAGTCATACAGGATGTTTGAATCAGTTGGGGAGTGATTTGGACATTCATGGACCTGTTTACAAGCAACAGCGAGGTATGGCTCAAGGATTGTCTTCACTTGTTTTATCACATCTGCAAGAGAGCCACGATCCATGTATTCTAGGACAAGGGAAAACGCTCCATTGTGATAAAAGGACTGATAGCAAACCACAACATGTGGACATTGTGATGCTTGGTTTATTATCAGCTCCTGGACGATCTGTTTGCGGATTTCCTCTTGTATATTCATTTGGATGACCTGAAATTCATAAACACACTAATTCAGAAGCCAAATCTGAAAACCTGTTTGTGAGGAACGAGCATCTGGAACACTTTAGTTCTCTCCTTGCAACATTGTATCCATATATCAAAATACTAATTGTGTTTCTGTAGAGTCCAGAAGTGTTACAAAAAATGCTTAATGATGCTCACCTTTATTTGCCTTTCAATTATCGGAACCGAATCTATAGTTAGCATTTTCTTGCTGCTAGACTTCTCTGGGCATGCACACACACACGGACAGCAAATTCTCCCATTAAAGCTACATTCATATAATCTTAAAAGCCAAAGTTTCCCACACCCATTTTATGATCCCCTAAGATAAAGACGCATGAATCCTATTAGACTCCATAGAACGAACCCCTCTGGAGATCGGAGATCCAAGTTTGAAACTTGCCAAGGAAAAGAAAAGGGTATATTCGTGATTGTTATGGAAACACACCTTCATAGCAAATAACTTGCCATCCCATTTGTGCCGGACAAGTTGCACCACACCGCCATTTCCTTTTCCGATGACTTTCACACTCTCAAGGTCTGCTGGGGTAATCTCGAAATCAAGCTCCTTGCCTTCAGAGGGCTGTTGAAGAGAAAACAGTGTAAACACAAATATTCTCAAGATGCTCTTCTTGTCAGACATCAGCTGATGATTTCGATCGGATATGCCCGGAAGGATGCGTTCAGACAGGGAACTTACTCTTGATTCCTTCTCATCAGACATCAGCCGCAGCCCTTTTTGGTTCAGAAGCAAATCTCCATCGCAGAATGTACCACTAGCAGTCCTGTGATTTTGTAAAAACATAAGTAAAGAGGGTGGAAATTAACTACCTTCCGAGAAATCAAGTGTTCCCCGATTCAACTTACGCACCCATATCTCACAATGCAGATTCGTAAACTCGAAAATTTAAAAACGCAGACGAATTCAGGATCTAAACACTTCAGTCTATTCGCTGATTCTTACACCCTCTAAGGCTAAACCTTAAAAACTCCATTTTCTCGATTGCTAGGGCTATTACTAGAAACATTACTGGTTTTGAACACTTTCTCATTTTCTCGCGCTAGAGTATGTTCGAATGCAAGGGAGAGAAATCGAAGCTTACAAGAAGGAAGAGATTGGGGTTTCCTGAGCTGGGACGGAGAGCTTGAGCTCCGTCAATGGCGTTTTAATCTTCATCGTCTTCGCCAGATGATCTAGGTATTTCGCTCGCTAGGGTTTGAGGTGGGTGAGCAAACTCCAAGAGAGAGAGATTAATAACTTCTTAATTTTCCTAGCGCAGAGAAGACGACGACTGTTCGTGTCAACGGCCTCACAATTTTGAATGCTACGGACCGGGAAAAAAAAAAAAAAGGAAAAAAATTGTAGCGAAATTACCGTAATACCCTGCGTCCGTTAATCAAACCCAATATAGCCCATTACTCGGTCCGTCAAGGCCCATAGTTTGATATTAAAGCTCATTAGGCCCATTAAGCTAACCCTTTTTTTTTTTTGTTGAGATGTCTCAGATTTTTTTGTCAATCTTCCTGTAATGGATGAGATTCTCTCAGTCGTTGTACAGACATTCCATCTGGAGTCCTGTCTGAAAACTCTCATGTCCCAGAAGCAAAAAGGGACAATACCGATCTCAACAACCGCAAGGCTTCTCATAGAACTTCCAATCTCCAAAACCAATCATAAAGTTCCAAAGCCCAATCTTCATAGAATCTTTCCAAAACACATTGTTTATGGAATAATGATCCATACAAGGACGCCGGCCATCGCATAATATAGTTTCCTCATGGCCATAAATGGAAGATTACAACAGTAACAATGGCTTGCAAATTTGCATCAGGGACCAAGAAAAAGATCCAGAAGACAGGATTATATTTATATAGGAGTTGCTCGGTTTTAGAGACCAGATTCGATCAGGTAGTCACCGAGCCTCTCGACAACCATATTGCACTGGCCAGGAGCCATTGGTTCGTCGTAGATACCGATGACCATGGCCTGATTGGTCTTCTTTATGGTCACACCACCAGGTCCCTATAGTGGAAGTAACACAAAGCAGGTTCATAAAGGGTAGTAGCTAGTGAGTCATGCAAGATATAGTGACCCATTGATCAGGCCACAAGACCAGACTGAACCAGAAATCAGAATTCAGACAACACAGTGGATTTTTACCTTCTTTCCTCGAATGACGGCACCTGGCTCCCCCTGGATCACCATGTACTTAACGCCTCCGAGGAACAATCCGGTTGGAGCAAGTGTTCCGGGTTCATCAAAATCGCTTATGATCCCAGCGATCTCGTCCGGATTGAACTGAAACCGACCACGAAACGTTTCATTTCGAATCAACTTGATTCAAGTATAAACGCTGAATCGACTTGACCAGCCATTCAGAGCAAACTCGATATAGACATACATAACTTAGAAATTTTCTTCAATAGATCTTTTAATAAAGCTCCAATCTTTGATTTAATCTGAGGGGCTCTAACCATTCATTACTCGAAACCGATTGCCTGATCCAGCGATTCAAACTTAAGATTCAATTCGAAATTGCCCGACCCAGATGTGAACCGAGTAACCCACAATCGGTAATCCAATTAGGGTGACGGATTCGAAAAAGGGAGCAAATGCAGACCCTGATCAGAACCCTCGTAAAAAATGGGCAGATTCAGCATAGATTCAAACGGAAACAGCAATTCGGAGAAAGCGAAATTCATCAGACAGTGGATCGGAGAGAGTTGTAAGTAGGAAAACGAGGAAAACCTGAGGGAAGTGGGCGCTCTGAGCCCAGACGCTGCCGTCTTCGCCGAGGATTGCGGCGGCGGTGAGGTGGTTGCCCTCAACGTCGCACATCAGGTGGTCGTCGACGTACGTTTGCCACGACATCTCTCTCCCCTTCCTCGTACGTTCTTCTGCTGCTTTCTTCTGTGGTTATTGCCTATCGGACTGTGAGAGAGAGCGTCGAAACTACGAGGTGCGTGACAGCGGCATGGGCGCATAGACATATATATATATATATATATGCACGAGGCATAATATAAAAATATAGAATTTAAACAGTCATTGTAAAAGAATCTTTAGTATTTATTCTCTTGCTGAAAAAAAAAGATGTAATTCAACTTATCTTTTCGTTTTCTTTTTTAAATAACCTGTCGACGGAATTTAAAAAAAAAAGGAAACAACAACCATAAACTCAGAATCATTGATTGATACTTCTCTTTAATGTTATTATATCAACAATACATCTATTTTATTCAAGATCTTCCGAATCCTAATAACAATTAGGTCATACTATTATGAACTTTTTTGGTGTTGGAGAAAAACATTGAATTAACTCCTTGTGAGCGGAGATTATAACGCCAAAAATAACCAAAGCACGAATCCCCGCCCTTGGATATTTGAACAGTTGATGATTATGTGGGTGCATTCCGTAAGATATATGTAAAAATAAATTGAGATTTGATTCGGCCCTTGATTAGTGGGATAAGACTAAATGACAGTAACGATCTCAATCTCCATGACATCAAATGTTGATGGACTGGGAAAAGAAACTGCAATTTAGGAATCAAATCACGCAGAGAAAATGAGATTTAATTCAGTCACCAAGCTGCTGTTTCAGTGGTTTTTCTTTACACTGTTATTCTCTGCAGAATCTTTTGTTTCTTTCTCACTTCAGTTCTCTTTGAAGGAAAAAATACAAAGACAGAGAGAGAGAGAAGACATGAAAAAAGTAGCAAATGTCAAGAACAAAAAACTGGGTTTTACTAAAGATGGATGATGAGACTGGCCTTACAGGTCCTGATCGATAAGGTAATCGCCCAATCTCTCGACCACCATGTTGCACTGTCCCGGCGTCACGGGTTCCTCGTAGATTCCAAACACTAGAGCTTGTCCTGTCTTTTTTATGGTGGCACCACCAGATCCCTTTCACCGAGAACAGGATATCGACGCAGTGACAATGTTATTGATGGTTTTACCAATCTCCTGAGGCCAAAACTTTTTGAGATTTGATTTATTACCTTCTTCCCACGGATCACTGCTCCGGGTTCTCCTTGGATCACCATGTACTTTGCACCGCCGAGGTGCAATCCTGTAGGAGCAAGGTGGCCTGGATCGTCGAAATCCTTCATGATGTCTGTAATCTCTTGAGGCTTCACCTGAAAATGTGACTACAACTGTTAGTGGTGGATTAGGAGGTTATGCTGGTTTCGATAGCTTTACAAGGAATGAAATGAAATCATATCATCTCCATTATCGCAGTACTAGATCAAATCATTCCAGGAATTCAGAGCTTGTTGAGCTTCACAACGTTGATCTGTATAGTAGTACCATTGCTTGTGCACTTAACCTTAGATATGCTCTGCTATGGAGTTTGTGTTTATTACAGGAATCCGAAACCAAACATCACCAATATCAACGCTCGTCGTTACGAGGTTCAATGATCGATTCCGGATTCGTTCCATCACGCGTAATAGATAACACCATTAGATCGAGCAACAACACCAAAGAACCATTATGCATTCCGAACGGGGAGAAAATAAAATCAAATAAACAAATTAACCGAACATCAAACTGCATCGGATTCGAAAATCTTAGATATGACTTGAGGAATTCGAGTCATTCAAGCCAAATGCGGAATCTATTCTCAAACGCCATAAGAGATTCAGTAAAACAGATCGGAGTCGGAATCACCTGAGGGAAATTGGAGCTCTGAGCCCAGACAGAACCGTCGTGGCCGACGATGGCGGCGGCGGCGAGATGCTGTCCATGGCCGTCGATGTCGCACATCAAGTGGTCGTCCACATACGTTTGCCACGACATTTTCTCTCCGATCTTCTCCTAAAGCTTTTGCGTTTCCGCTGATGGGAGACCTCCTTCAAAGATGGAATATTAGCAGACGAAGAATGAGGCCCAATAAATCTCAACCGTCCATGTTTTAAACAAGAAACGAGAGATGGAATCTCAGCCGTCCATACCCTCACCGTTCTTTCGCCTTTATTCTTGCTCAAAACCTACTTTTAATATCACTAATTTTTCCCCTCCTAAACCCAAAATAAAACCCTAAATGTGTTTATTTTAGTTTTATACTACAGCCCGACACTAATAATCCGTTTACCATAATGGGCCTGACATTTAAATGGAGGCCCAACTATTGTCCTGATATATTCATTATGGGCCTAACATATCCAAATGCAGACCCAACTATAGCCCTGATATATAATCTATATATCATTATGGGCCTGGTATATCCAAATTTAGGCCCAACTTTGGCCCTAATTTAATACGTTTACCATAATGTGCCTAATATCCAAATGAGGCCCAATTTGTTAGAAAACGGGCCTTTGAATTTGGAAAGCATATGTTTAATAATTCTTTTTTTTTCAAATTTCAAATAATGGTCAACTTATAATATTTAATGATATGGATGGACTGTCGGACACCGGCGTTGACCAGGGGAAACCGGAGGAGATGGGTGTAATCTACGGGTACGATTTCTTCTGATTCCCACTCTCGGTCAGATTCAAAATCAACGGCTGAGACTTTCCGTTTACTTTGAACCGTTGATCTGTGGACGCCGCTTAGACATTCGCACGGCTGTCGTTTTCCGGTGGAGATCTAATGTCCTAAGAAAAATAATTTATTACATAATACTCACATATTTTGCACCAACAAAAAAAGATAAATACCAAAATCTCGTGTTTTCGCACAAGGGTCCTTTTTTATTGACAAAACTCTAGAAGACGAGGACCCCAATCCATAAAACATTTTATAAATCAGATGTACCCCGATAAAAATAAAAATAAAAATAAAAATAAATAATGCGATAGACAAAGAAAATTGAAAATTCATTCTACTATTGTAATTCAGTTTTCTCTTCTGATGAGAAAATTAACACCTTTCGTTAACCAAGAAAAAAGAAAAGAAAAAAGAAATCAACATCATGGCCCATGCTTTGATTACATCACAAGGATAAGGATAATTTCATGCAAGCATCTGATGCCCTGAACGTCTTTGTAATTTGATGGAGAATTAAAAAAAAATGTTCATTACAGTTTTAAAAAAATTCAACGTAAAATTTTAAAAAAAATAACAGGAAATTCGAGGGATGGAAAAAAAAATACACAATCATGAAAAGGAATACTTTCTAGAAAATATTTATAAAAGAGAGTGACGTGTTCCCCAAGTCCGAAAAGTTCCTACTTTCTGGAAGAATATTATGAACCATCTCCCAAGTTTCAACCGTAATTTTCTCTGTCGTCACCAGATCCCGAGAGCTTCGTAGACAGCATATATACGCATATACATGTATGTATGTATGTATGTATGTATGTATGTATGTATGTATGTATGTATGTATACACACATGTCCGTATGATTTTATAGTCTCGTGTCTTTCCAGTTTCTCGCGGCAAAATCCGCTGATGCCCTCCACCTGTTTAATCGGATCCCTCGTCTAAAAAGCTAAAAGTTATGTTTTTTCCCGGAAACCCATCACGCCCTCTATCATTCGCGAAGCAGAGACTGTAGCAAAACCGCTGCTCCGTACAATTTCACTGCTCCTGGTCTCTCTCTCTCTCTCTCTCTCCCTTTTGATTCGTTTACCAATTTCGGTGGTCAAAATTTCAGAATGCTATAAAAGCGGATCCCCTTTTCGTTGGATTGATGGATTTGGTGCATCTCTCTTATTCTCTTCCTTCGTTTCAGGGACAGGGTATCTCCTTGTTTTCGCGTCCGAGTAGTTTTTTACGAGATTCGAGGCCTTGGGTCGTCGAGAAAATCCATTTTCCGGCGACGCTTTGCTCTTTTGTTGCTCTGTTCCAGGCGCCGCCATGGGTTCTCTCGGAAGTAATCAGCCAAAGATCGTAAAGGGTACTGCCGGTTATGTTCTCGAGGACGTTCCCCACCTCGTCGATTACCTTCCCAGTCTTCCTGTACGTCGCTGCTGATCTCTGATTCTTCTCGTATCTGTGTTCCTAAATCTGTTTGGTTGATTGGAATTTGATGAAGGGAGACATTAGATTTTTTTCCATTCACTTATTGTTAACTTGATCTCGTAATTGAAGAAAGACAAACTTTATATGTACAGGAAGATGATCACACGCTTTGTCTGAGTGATGTTATATGTGCAAGCATCTGTGTGTGTTTTTGGCCGGTTTCGTTGTTTGAATGAGTTGATAACTGATAATAGTTTAGAGGAATGTCTCGAACCATTTGACCAAGAAACAGGACAAGTGATGGTAAGATCTCTTGCTAACGTTGTTTCTTGTTTTTGCTATCTGCAGACATATCCCAATCCCTTGCAAGACAACCCTGCGTATTCAGTGGTCAAGTAAAGTCTATTACCCATCTCATTCTGCTTCGAATCTTCATGTTCTTAATGATTTACCATGATGTTCCCAATCATGTTTCGTCCATGTCGGGAAGCAAGCAACCATCGGTTACAGTAGTAGTTCTTTTCCTTTCTCAGGCAATACTTTGTCGATGCGGATGACAGTGTCCCTCAGAAGGTAAATTCCCCCGAGCCCCTATCCTCGTTCTACATTCCTCAGCGTCAAATCGATGTTTTACAGATTGTTGCAAGTGTTTTTTACACTTTATTACCTTACCTCGATCTGTTTTCATGTCGCATATAGATCGTTGTTCACCACGATAGTGCAAGAGGAGTACATTTCCGACGAGCCGGGCCACGCCAGAAGGTGCGTCTATTTTCAATATGATGCGGTTTATTCAACTGGGAAAGTGTGATGATCCTTTGCCCGTAATTATCTTTCAGGTGTACTTTGAATCCGATGAAGTCCATGCTTGCATTGTTACGTGTGGGGGTCTATGCCCAGGCCTCAACACTGTGATTAGAGAATTAGTTTGTGGATTATCATACATGTATGGTGTGAAGAAAATTCTCGGAATCGATGTAAGTTTTATAATCATGGTTCCCATTTGTAACATCTAGACACAAGCATGTGCTTGATCATCCCGGTTTCTTTCCTTTTCTTTGGATATTGCAGGGTGGATACAGAGGATTTTATGCTAAGAACACTATCCCCTTGAACTCTAAATTCGTTAACGATATCCATAAACGCGGAGGAACTATCCTCGGGACCTCACGAGGTGGGCACGATACCACAAAGATAGTTGACAGCATTCAGGATCGAGGAATTAACCAGGTTTTCGGATAGTCTCTTTCCACAATGTTATGTTCTGAAAGTGTGTGTGTGTATATACGGTGTGTTCTTGATGTAGTTTGTGTTATCATTCAGGTTTACATCATTGGAGGAGACGGAACACAACGAGGAGCATCTGTAATATTCGAGGTATATAACACAATTGCACTGAATTTTTGGTTAAAGCAATACTCATCTGAGATTATGAATGTTTTTTGATCATTCTAGGAAGTAAGAAGACGTGGACTGAAAGTTTCAGTTGTTGGAATCCCGAAAACGATTGATAATGACATACCGGTAATGCATTTCTTCCGAGATTTTGCTTATTACTACAGGATCGAAGCATCGTTCTTACAGAAAGGGCACTTCTCAAAATGTCGTAGGTGATAGATAAATCATTCGGGTTTGACACCGCTGTGGAGGAAGCTCAACGTGCGATTAACGCAGCACATGTTGAAGCCGAGAGTATCGAGAACGGTATCGGTCTTGTGAAGCTTATGGGTCGATACAGCGGTAAGTTTTTCACTCCTCTACTTACACCTCATCTATATCTGTCACATGGCATATATATGTATTAGCGTGTGTATGTATCGTCAATCAATACAGGGTTCATAGCTATGTATGCTACACTTGCAAGCAGAGATGTGGATTGTTGTCTGATTCCGGAGTCGCCCTTTTACCTCGAAGGAGAGGGCGGACTCTTTGAGTTTGTCGAGAGACGGTTAAAGGAGAATGGACATATGGTGATTGTCATAGCTGAAGGGGCAGGACAGGAGTTAATGTTGGAATCTACGACTCTGAAAGATGCATCCGGAAACAAACTTCTCAAAGATGTCGGTCTCTGGTTATTTCAGAGCATCAAGGTACTGAATTCCGAGCAGAATTTACACAAAAGCTGCAACCTTTTTGATTCTCGGAACCCTAATTTCATGATCTCGAGACCGGAAACTCAACGGGTGATTATTTTTCTTTCGGTTGTAGGATCATTTTTCGGCGAAGAAGGCAACGATCAACCTCAAGTACATAGGTGAAGCCATGTCCTTTTTCTAGCCATGCCCATGATTTTTTCTCTCCATACGTCTCCTAACCAATTCTCGGATCTCAACTTCCAGATCCAACGTACATGATCCGAGCTGTTCCTAGCAATGCATCGGACAACGTTTACTGTACACTCCTGGCTCAGAGCGCGGTCCATGGTGCCATGGCTGGATACACTGGTTTCACCAGTGGTCTCGTCAATGGCAGACAAACCTATATTCCCTTCTACGTAAGTTATCAACTACCCCATGCAACAAAAAACCCTCTTGAATATCTGATAGTACTTTCCAGCTGATCACTCGGAAACAATTCTTGATCCGAAATCTCATCAGTTTTGCTGTCAAACCCGAGTTTCGGTTCTTACATTTGATCTATGGATTGGCGATATATCAACGTATTCTTTTGCTTGTGTCTGCAGAGAATAACAGAGAAACAGAACAAGGTGGTGATTACGGACAGGATGTGGGCGAGGCTGTTGTCTTCGACGAACCAGCCCAGTTTCTTGAGCCCCAAGGATGTCTCCGATGAGAAGAAAGATGACTCGAAATCGCTTTCCGGCGACTCAGATTCCCAACGGCAGTAACTGCGGCGGAGTTTCCGGTGACCGAAGAAATTGCTCGGTGAAAAACAATCCACTTGACTTTCTGCATACGCGAGTTGTTTACGTTAGGCAAATAGAGAAATAACGAGATTTGACGATTTTGCCCTTCCGTTTGGGGGAAAGTACTTGGTTTTTAGATGTCTGCTTTTGTAATTCTATATGTTACCTCGGCGTGGCGGCGGCGGCTGATGATATAAATTTATTTCAAAGTGTTTTTTCTGTGTTTTTTTAATATTAAAATTTCAGTAATATTGAAGGTGTCCGAGAGCAAAAACAGCTACAATTTCAACAAATTAATAGTTAAATAATTTTTATGTATTATAATTAATTAAATATGTTGGTACCAAATTCAAATGGTGGGTACTGAATCTTTTATATATATATAAATGCATTTCTTTTGAGCTTTTTCTTTTGCGTTTATTGAGTACCATGTTTCGAGACAGGAATGATTCCTCTATACAATAGTTTGTAAAACTTCCATGGGGTGGAAGAATGGTATTAGTATTAAGTAAATGAAACAAAACGCATGGAAATATATTTATTAATTAACAACAATAAGAAAACGAGACAATGATATTAATATATGATTATATAATAATATAACATAATAGATACTTATGTATAATAATAATAATTAATAACGATAAAAGATAATAGTATGTGGCTATGTGCAACAAGATGACTCGGCCGAAAACTAGACTAAACCGTCGATGCCGCAGTTTCCTCTACACCGATCAGAGGCTTTCTTTGAATGGCGGAACGATCCTCACGCCCCACAACACTTCACCATCTCAGCTTCTCCGGGAAATACTGTCATCATTTTTTTATTATTAAATTTTAATGTTTTTTAAGTAACATTATCAATAAAAATAAATATCATATACTATTTTTATACATGCGAAAGATATATATATATATATATACTTACTTTGTTGATGAGGGAAATGTAGTATGGCTTGACCTTCTCCACGTCGATCAGAACCTTGCTCTTGCTGTAGAGGTCGTACTTGCTGCGTAATTTTTGGGTTTTGTTATAAAATATTATATATATATATAAAACTGAATCTCCTAAAAATTGGCGTTAAAGGGTGAATTAATAAATTAAAAAAAAAATATTGAAACTGTACTTGAAAACGTGGAGCCACTTGAGGTTCTCTCTGTCTTGCTCGTTCATGAGGTGGGTATATGCACCAGCCGTGTGCAATGCTGCATATATATACATATATATATACAGGTAAATTCACGTCAAATTACATCATGATTTTATATTAATCCATATTTGTTATAATCATGTTTAGGGTTTTGTATTAATGAGTAAAAAGGAGAATATATGGAGCTTACGGTAGAAGGAATGGTATCGGATGATGAACAGCCCCGGGGAGGGGAGCGTGCTTCCATTCTCCTTGGCCACCTATAATTGCATGATTTTATATATAATTACCGATTTTAATCATGTTTATTAAATTAATTATGCATTATTAATATACATATATCGATTGATATAGTAATGAAATTACCAGGTACATGTAGTCGTCATGGCCCCATGACATCCTGACATTGTCTAGTCCACACCCTTGAGTATAAATCCCACATTTGGTGTTGTAGGATGGATTTTTATAATCAGGGTTTCCCTTGAAATACTACAAATAAGAAAACGGAAACATTAATTAATTAGGAGAAGATTAATTCTATAACCAACTTCATAATCTAATCAAAATCTTGTAAATTAATAATTATCTCAAAATTCTTACCTTGTTATGAACGTTAGAATCATCAAAGGCACATCCAACCGGGAATGTATCGCCTGAATTTTTTGAAAAAACAATTACTATTATAATCTCACACAATGATATAAAATAATTAAGCTCCACCTTCGATAATACATCAACATCCTTAATCTCTTGTATCATTTGATTTTATTGCATATAAGATATGATAATAGTTTTTGTTTGTTGGTTGTCGTCTTCCACACAATTTGTCAAAAGAATATTACAAAACTCACCAACAACAGCCCATTGAGGAAGCCCTCCGAACTGTGGAAGAGTAAGAACCTTCCCAAGATCTAGAGAGAAAGAAATGTCGGTCCAATCACATTTTATCGATCGATATAAAACTCGATCATATCAAATGGATGGATACATTCTAGCTAGGGATCATAATAGAAAAAGAACCCGGTATCGAAATGTACATACCGTGGATGAGGGCGGTGAGATGGAGCCAATCCTCGTTAGGGTAATCCTTTCGGACGGCCTCAGCGGATTGAAGCAAGTGCTGAATCTGAGGCTCGTCGAGATCGGGATCGCTCTCGTCCACCACATCATTCAACAGCTCACAACACTCCCATATGCTCATCTCCATCTTGTTCAGTTTCCCATATTCCTCCCTCATCTTCTCCACCTATATATATATATTATAATACAATGTTTTTATTTCTCACGTTCATGATTCATAATATTGGATCAAATCAAAAGGGTGATGCATATATATACACACACATATATATATATATCATATAGGGTTCGAATCTTACAAAGTCTACAGTTTGGTGAATGTGCTGTAATCTGTAGAACTCCTCCACGCTCTTCTGTCTCTCGCTGTTTACGTCGTAGTCTCTGCAACGTTCATATCCTTCGTTATGTAATTCTCTTATAGTTTCGTCCCCCCCCCCAAAAAAAAAAACCCTAATTTAAAAAAATAAAATAAAACCTGAAAGCGCGGCCGAACGCATTCATCTCAGGAGCCAAAAACGCTTCGTCGGAGGGAGAATCCGACATCGGAAAACCACCGTCCAGTTTCAGTTCTCTGTCTTGTTCTTCGATCTTCTTCTGCAATGCGGAGACATCATCTGCAAGGAAAAGGGGAATCCGCTTAATTTACCTTCCCGGAAAATTCGATCTGACAACCAGAAATCGAGAGAGAGATTCTCACGGAAAACCGGTTTCTCGACGGAGATGGTCATGCTGATGAAGAGATCGAACGAGCGAAATGGAATCCGAATGTAGGTTTTGGTCTTGGATGATGGGAGGATGGCCGGTTAGGGTTTGTGGGTATTTATAGTGGTGGCTTGGGAGAGAAGAAGTCCTTGTTTGATATTTGGATAAAATCATGTCCTTGATTATGAATACTTGGCTTTAATGACTATTTTTATATTATCCAAACTGGACCGTTTCTTTATTTGTTTCTGTTATGGGCTAATTTCGTATTATCCAAAAACAGGGAAAATTTAATTTTTGTAGATAAGATTGATATATATGTGGATTATAATCACTGATTAGATTTTGGCAGTTTTTTTTTGTTTGCTAATTTTTCAGATTTTTTACTAAATTCAATGGTTTTTTTTCTTGGTGTCGATAAAATATCTTTGGAGAGATAAATAATAATAATAATAATAATAATAATAATAATAATAATAATAATAATAATAATAATAATAATAATGTACGGCCATTGAAAGTTTCAAACTTTAACGTATCTTAATTAGCGGACGATTAAGTTAGTGAGACAAGAAACCCCACCGTCAGATTTTTTTCCCCCATTGGATAAACATCGTCAGATGAATATATTATAATCCATTTCGATTAAAAAAACAAATGATTTTTTTTTTAATTATATGTGTATATATAATGGCAATTCTATATTTAGCACGATAAATAACTACGTTTCGGTGGAAAAATACAATATACGGCAATTGTACTTGCGTATACATTGCTGAGTCAGCTCGTATTTATAAATTTACGTAAAAAAGCCGAGTGAGTGAATTGGATAAGCTTTTGTAACCTTGTCAAAAAGGTTGGCCAAAAACATAAAATATAAATTTATATGTGTAAGAGATACAGTCAATAAATTATAATATTTAATATTAAACTTTTAAAAAACTGTTTTGATAATATAATTGAAAGCATTTTTGTTATCGTTGGGGTGCAGTCCTCGATGATATATATGTATGAGTTATGTCCTTAGATTGTAAAAATCTTTAGTTTGGTCTTTGTAATTAATTTGCGTATTTAGAAAGAAATCGAAGGAGTGACTCAGCCTTACGTGTACCTTTTATTTGTATATAAGTTTATCATAACCTCACCATGTATGTTCCAGACATGCATGACACAGCATCTACTCACTGCCTTCAACGTGTTTTTTTTTGTGTGTTTTTAATGTCATTTTCGCCAGCTTTTTATCTATTTCAGTTCAGATTTCTTGCTTTTAATTTCTAGCGTAACTCGGAAATTATTAAATGCATTGTAACCTCATTTTTTTCAGAAAAAAAGCATATATCATAAGGCATATATATATATATATATATATATATATATACACACACGCATATGTACGAAACAAATTGTCCGCAACATTTCTGTATCATGGACCGAAACTCAAACTAATCTCGAGACCGAAAATAAACAATGTGATTAGAATTATACTCTTCTTTTCAACTTGAGACTGAACAAATTAGATCACGACGTTTTTTGTTATAAGTTCTTACGACGTTAACCATTTATATATACGAAGATGGTTAGGCAAATCTTCATATCAAATACATTTGAAATAATGTATGATTATGATCATACGGTGGAATATATATTTGGCATTTTGACCGAAAAAATTGGATGTTAAGTATATAGGTAGATAGGTCCTCATCTGTAACTCACTTTACAATATAGTAGGGATATCAAATGAACCGGTTTGTAAGTCATTTCTCATCTGTAACTGAGAAATTTTGAGTCTGAAAAAAAATGAGCCAAACGAACTAGCTCGCCACGAGTTCGACTCATGACGAGCTAACTCGCAATCCAGAATTGTTTTTATTTTTAATATTTTGTAAATAATTTTAAAACTTTCTTTTTTTTTATCAAATTTAAATATTTTTTTTATTAATTTAAAATATATTAATTGTTATTTAATTTTTTTATAATATTTCATATTTTTTTATTTTATTTTTTATTTTTTTTACTCGCCAGTCGATTTGCGAACTCGAGCGATTTGGTCCGAACTTTGAATTTATCGGTCACAATAAAAACGGACTTAATGAGTCGGATTGAAAATAAGCTACACCAGAACGAATTGATCCGATCTGGTCCGAACCGGTTGGTTTAACATTTGACATCTCTAAATATATAATGGATATGGATACGCATCATAAAAAACTATATTCTCCTAAAATGCATGTAATTCCCTGGAAAAACGCACAACGATATCGTAACATAAAAAAAAAGCATACGCATGTCAACTTGGAATGATGATGATGATGATGATGATGATGATGATGATGATGATGATGATGATGATGATGATGATGATGGAGTCGAAGAATTAGTATGAGTGGGCTTTGGTACATGGGTCAGGCCTTATGGACTCACTTATTGGATCTGCTTTCATGTCCACGTCATCAATATTTTTGGAGTTGTCCCCTCCACCGATACTGTCGTCGTTGTAAAAAAAAATTAACAGCCCAATTAAGACGGAAAAATGTTCGAACTTTTCAAATTCGTCGTCAATGGATATAGTATTAGTCGAACTCCTCATCTTCGTCTTCGTAGTCCACTGCTTCGTTTCGCGTGGAGTTTCATCGGAACTTCCATGGGTCCACAGCGACGGCGACTCGTCGAGATTCCTCCAACTGGCGAAGAAACCGGAAGTGTTCGATTGGATGGTTGGAATCCGGAGGAAAATCCACGAGAATCCGGAACTGGGTTACGAGGAATTCGAGACCAGTAAGCTTATCAGGTCGGAGCTCGATCGTATCGGCGTTCCGTACAGATTCCCAGTCGCCGTCACCGGAGTCGTCGGCTTCATCGGCACGGGAAAACCTCCGTTCGTCGCACTGAGAGCCGACATGGATGCTTTGCCTATTCAGGTTCCTCCCTATGACTCCTCTCCCTCGGAAATCTCTCTTGATTCCATCCACAGAAAAGATCTGGGAGATAATTTTCAGGACTGATCGTTATCGGAATTCGATTACTCTGATGGATTCGTGACTGGTGCACGAGGGTCGATTGATTTAGTGCTCAATAATTTTATCGGATCGCATACATGAGTCCAATCATGAAGAAATTCGCTGATCTGCTAGTTCTATTGACACACACACACAACAGTGGATTCAGATTTATTATGACGAGTTTGATTGATTTTTCTATTTCAGGAGGCCGTGGATTGGGAGCACAAGAGCAAAGTTCCTGGGAAAATGCACGCTTGCGGACACGATGCTCATGTGGCCATGCTTCTTGGTGCAGCTAAAATGCTTCAAGAACATCGCCACGATTTGCAGGTACCCTCTGTCTGCTGTTGCCTTTGTTTAATAGATTCCTTTCATGTGGATTCGAACCTAAGTAGGGTTCTTTAGGCAAATCTTCTTTTAACATCTTCCGAGAATCTGATTGGTTTTAGTGGTTATTCAGCTCAAGCATCACGCCCAACACATGTTCTTATTTACACGATTGTATGTTTTTGATAGGGAACGGTGGTGCTTATATTTCAGCCAGCCGAGGAAGGCGGTGCTGGGGCCAAAAGAATGATAGAAGAAGGTGTTCTGAATGACGTTGAAGCCATATTCGGGTTACACGTCACCAGCCGGTTCCCCATCGGGAAAGCCGCTTCCCGTGCAGGCCCCTTGCTTGCTGGAACCGGAGCTTTCGAGGCTGTCATTATCGGGAAAGGAGGGCATGCTGCCTTCCCGCAGCATGCTCTGGACCCGATTCTCGCTGCTTCAAGCGTCATCCTCAGTCTCCAACATCTGGTTTCACGTGAAACCGACCCTTTGGGTTCACAGGTTCTTCTTTCTACTTCACTCGTGTGTCTCACCACTAACCCTAGTTTTTCTCAAGCCCATACTGATTTGATCTTCTCTTCAGGTTGTTACAGTCGCTTCCGTTCATGGAGGTGATGCTTTCAATGTCATCCCTGGTTCAGTCACCATGAATGGGACCTCTCGTTCATTTTCCGCTGAAGGGCTTAGTCAGCTTCAGCGGAGAATCGAAGAGGTAAATCGAAAAGGCTGCTCCGAGATTCTTGTCGTCGTTGCTTCTTCCTAACCCAACTCTTTCAAAACTCATTCTAGGTCATCACCAAGCAATCAGCCGTCCATCGATGCAATGCCACCGTGAATATGAAGCCCAATGGTCAAGAGGTCTACCCACCAACCATGAATGACGACCATTTATACGAGCGTGTCAAGAACGTGGCTCGGGAAATGCTGGGTTTGGATGGCGTGGTTGTGGCAGAGCCTTTGATGGGAGGAGAGGATTTCTCGTTCTATGCCCAAGAGATTCCAGGCCATTTCCTCTTCCTTGGGATGCAAGACGAGACCAAAAGCTTTGCCATGACTCATTCACCTTATTACAGAGTTAACGAGGATGTGTTACCTTACGGTGCCGCGCTGCATGCGGCTACAGCAGTACAGTACTTGACGGACAAGGCAAGGCTTCCTAAGCTACTACATCACACGGAGGGTTCGCTCAACCCGCTCTGAAGTTTGAAGTTCGCTTCTCTATGTTATGCTTATTAGTCAGTACCTAGACCGTGTACCACGAACGAACTCACCGGACCTTATTCAATAACCGAAATCATCGAATTTAAAGATTGAACTACCACTAAACGGGCAACTTATACAGCTTCAGTGTATTTCAAAGGAACACCCAACAACTCCGACAAGAAGAACCAAGCTGTACCAGTTCAAACTCTTACAAACTTCAACACTAAACACAAAGACAAACCAAGGCTTATATTATAGGCCATGGAAGTACATACTGACCGAAAATCACCATAACATAAACCGTAACAAGAGGCGAAAGAGAGATAATCGAAGGCAATATCGAGAAAAGATGCGACGGGCAAACCAAAACCGTATTTCATAGCATCAAACTCGTAACATTTTGGTAAAGTGCAAAACAACCAAAATAAACAAAGGAAAGTATCCGAAAGTTACATATTCATGAAAAGTTTAGTCGACGAGCATTCTTCAACTTCTATCTCTACTTCTCAGAAGAGTTTGGTCCCCTCTTCTTCCCAAACCCAACAACTGCACAAGCCAAAAGATGAACTTCTTTTTCAGCGGATGAACTTATAACAAAAAAAAAAATCCAAACTTTACTGCTAGAATCAATAGGCAGATTAACAATCTAATCCCCTATATATAAACGATGATTTGACGTGTTTATCCAACTACATTGTATGAAACAGAGACGCATATACACCAAAACAACATTACAGATTGTTCTCACTCTACAAATTTCCAAATCATCACCTTCCTATAAGTAAAAACATCGTTTTATGCACTAATGGGCTGATTATAGTTTATCACCATGCCCTCGGAGCTGGACTTTGATCAATTCAAGCTCATTGTTTAAGTTTCTCTTTAGTTTCCAGATTCAGGTCACAGCCCCCGTGATTAGGATGAACTTATTAACAAAGCAGCCGAAAACTCTAACTTTATTCTACAGAAAATATACATAAAAGGGTAAAAAGATTGGGAAAATTACCGGCGGTGACGAATCGGCGGTTGTACTGCATGCGCTTGTGGGCGCGTCCTCGTGGCTTCTTCTTCTTGTCCTGCTTCGCCACCTTCGGCGTTTGTCCTCTCACCTTTCCGGCACGAGCCAACGATCCGTGAACTTTCCCTGAAACATCAACCAGTTCATCATCAGATCCAAAGCACCGAATCACGAATCGGAATCGATTTCCTCAATAGATTTCTCTAAGAAAAACTCCAAAAAGCTACGAGGATTACCCATGGCAGATTTGAACTAGCTCCTCAGGAATTCGCTCTTCTCCTTCCTGATGGCTGGCTTCGAAGTGCTACGTGCTAGAGTGCAAGTTTGGGGGAATTCTTAAAAATTAGGGTTTTGATGGCTTTATATGTGTTTGATCCTGTGAACTGGATCTGGATATCGTAGCCATTATTCGGCCCAATAACTGAAACTTTTTACTGGGCCGTATATAATCCATATATTTCCACGTCATCCATCTATTTTACAAATGATTTTTTATATGGCCAATGGTATTTTATGTTTATATCGATTTAATAACAACCCTGTCTAATTGTCAATTGGCATTAATATACAGAAAAACTCGATTGCATAATTACAAAAAAAAAAAACGAATTGTATATGTACAGAAACATCCAAACAATTGCTATTGAGGTGTAATAAACAACTAATTAGCGATTGAATTTTTAGGAAAGGCAAACCATTGGGGAAATCGAACGGTCGAGATTTAGTCTTCCCATGGTCCAAGGCATTGCACCCCTCCCATTTTCGCCAGCTTTTTATCTATTTCAGTTCAGATTTCTTGCTTTTAATTTCTAGCGTAACTCGGAAACTATTATAATC